TTTTTCCCCCAAAGCCCCAGTAGATAGTTGTATGTCATAGTTGCACATCCTTCTAGTTGCTGTATGTGGGACGCGGCCTCAGCATGGCCGGACAAGCGGTGCGTCGGTGCGCGCCCGGGATCCGAACCCTGGCCGCCAGTATCAGAGCGCGCGCACCTAACCGCTAAGAGTTACCATCATCTTTACCTGGATTATTGTAATAACTTCCCCATTTCTATCCTTGCCATCCTAAAGGTTATTGTAACACAGCAGCTGGAGCAATTACTTTAAAATTTAAGGAAGATTGTGTTTCCCCTCTGCATAGAACCCTGTGGCGGCTCCTCATCTCTCTCTGAGTAAAAGCCAAGGTCCTTAGGAGGGCCTACCTAATATGGCCCCACTATGCCTCTAATCTCATTTTACGGCCCTCCCCCTCGCCCACTCTATTCCACCACACTGCATCCTTGGTGTTCCTGGAACACCCCAAAATTCTCTCACGTTAGGGCTCAAATCTGAAATGCTTTTAGCACAGATATAATTATGGCTCATCCCTTCCCTTCTTTCAGGTCTTTGCTTGAATGTCATCTTCTCTGTGAAGATTCTTTGCTTTGTTCTGACCCTCTGTATAATCCACAGTTTTCTCTCTCTGGTCCCTATGCCCAGTCCTCTGGCATCATTTATTGCCCTTAACCTGCTTTATTTTCCTCCCTAAAATTTATCACCACCTCATATATAGTTAGTTGTTGATTATATATTTTTTGTCTGTCCTCCCTAGAATGCACATCAGCACCATGAGGGCAGAGAATTGGTCTGTTTTGTTCACTACTGTATCCCCACCACCTAGAGTAGTGCACTGTTGGTGCTCTATAAATGTTTGTTGAATGAATGAATGAAGGAATGAATGAATGAAGGTGGGTGGCCCATGGTGGATAGGCAGTTCAGGAACCAATCAGCCTGGGCTCTATTCCTGCCTCTGCTCTTACTGATTATGTAATTTGGGCAAGTTACTTCATCTCTTTGGGCTTGATTTCCTTACTTGTAAAATGAGGATAGTCCTTGTACCTCCCTCATAAATTTGTGGAAAAGATTAAATGAGTGTAAAGTATTTACCTCATGGTGAGTTGTGGAAATGTGTCAACTCTTGTTCCTAGAGCATCTTCCAGGTGTATGATAGGTGGGCAGTTCTCAGTATAGTCCCTCACAACCTGATCAGAATCACCTAGGGTTTGTTTAAAATGCAGCTTCATGGGCCCCAGCCAAGAAATCTGAGGAGGACCATGAAAATTTTTCATTTTTACAAGCTGTTCAGGTGACTATTTGCATATTAAAGTCTTAGAATTATATGTTAGAGAGGGGAGTAGTGGACCACAGTTACAGAATGGTAACCCTGAACCTGGGGAAGGGTCAGGGTGAGGGGACTCTGCTGCTTATGGAGAACAGAGGGAGGGGCCTTTCCTCTCAGCAGTGTGTGTGTGTGGGTGTGTGTGGTGCGGTGTGTGGTATGTGGGGTGTGAGTGTCTGTGTGTGTACGGTGTGTGTTGTGTATGTGGTGGTGACTGGGAAGTGGGCATTGAGAAGTAAATTGGTCCTCTGGCAGCTGCTGATTTTAAAATGATCTTGTTCTGAGGCAAGAGTCCATAGCCGCATGTAATTATTTTATTTTGTCCTTGGCAGTGGGATGTTCTATGATGGGAACCACACCTATCTCATTGAGCCAGAAGACAATGACACTTCCCAAGTAAGTGCTTCTTATATTTCCTGTGGCAAATGTAAAAACTGATGCTAGAAGCTTTTTTTCCCCCTTCTTTTTCTTCCTCTTTTTTCTACCTTATATTATTTTCATATTTTAGGGTCAGGATAGTAAATATATAACACATTATATTTACACATATATATATTTTTTAAATTTAATATTAAGTCAAAACTACAAGTGTTTTTTTTAAAAAAAAAAGGTTGTCTGTTACTCCCCCTTAATGTTGGAAATACTTTAATTCTGAGGTGTCTTAAAGCCTTCCTTTCTACCTCCACCATAATGTGCTGTGATCTCTCTTAGGGCTCAGGCTGCCATAATAAAATACTGGGTGGCTTAAACAACAGAAGCTTATTTTCTCACAGTTCTGGTGACTAAGTCTAAGATCAGGGTGCCAGCAGGGTTGGTTCTGTTGAGGGCTCTGTCCTTTGTTTGCAGACAGCTAGCTGCCTTCTCCCTCTCTCCTCACATGGCAGAGAGTGAGCTCTGGTGTCTCTTCCACTTCTTATGAGGGCCCCAGCCTTATCAGATTAGGACCTTTAAGACATCTTTTAACCTTTATCACCTCCTCGCAGGCCCTATCTCTAAATATGTCACATTGCGGGGGTGGGTAGGGCTTAAACATGAATTTTGAGGGGACACAAACATTCAGTCTAAAACAGATCAAATCTACAGATATGTGATTTTCCACCCGCCTTTCTTTTCTAGATTCTAGATTTTTCTCAACTGCCCATTGTCTTTAAGGTTCTGTGCTGATGAAGTTTAGAGAAATCTAGGTTTTCTTAATTCTTTCCTCCACCTTAGTTGAAACATTCATTTCCCACAAATTAGGAAGGATTGAGTTAATATTATAGACTACAGAGAAACATGATACACTTCCATGCTAGCTCCCCGCACACAAATATTCTTCTTTGTATCATGGAACATTGGTCACACACTTAGAGAGGCAAGTAATTTCTAGAAACACACACCGTTTTGCCACCCATAAACAATCTTGTTTGGGAAACTATTTGTATTGTATTTTATTTTCTGGATACCTAGTGCTGGCTTTTGGGTCACTTTGCTTGGCCAAGTGATTTTTTTTAAAGGTAATGTCATGAAACTTGTGAAAGTTTCACTATCATGAAAATTAGTGTTTATGACACTAATTTTTTTTGAGTAATTGAATGAAGCCAGAATAAATTATTTGAATGTTCATTAATTTTTCTTAGATGAAATGTGGCTTTTTATCTGTTAGTTTTTCACAGAACTTTGTATGACTTGAATTTTGGAGCAAGGTCAGTTTGGGCATCTGCTTGTATCAGTCAGCATACTCTCTAACCCCAGGGAGATTGTTGGCTCTGCAGTCTTTGCCTAGCAAAACTTTCTGGCTCTAAAAGGGGGGCAGGGATCCATGGAAAGGAACCAATCATAAAAAACATTAACCCGTTTTCCCAGATGTCTTGCTTCTCCTTGGGGGAATAGGTCCATTCATTTGTTTTCCATTACTACGGGCTTTGGCTTTGCTGTCTGCGAAGGCGTTTTGCTTCTAATAGGATATTGCTCTGGTGTTGGGAGAACACAGGAGTGAGAGGGAGGGGTGGTGTGATGGCTCATTGCCTCTTCAAGCCCAGGAGGATGTCTAGTCAAGCTACAGTTCTTTTAAGGGTCTCAGCTTCCCCAGCTATGATTGCCTGAGGCGGGAGATATGTGGCTGTGCGTGCTTAATCTCTCTTGTTTGTGTTATTTCAGGAGGATTTCCGTCTTCATTCAGTTTACAAATCCAGACTGTTTGAATTTCCCTTGGATGATCTTCCATCTGGTATGATAGTCATGTAGTGATTAAAAAAAAAGACAACTTTAATAATTCATTTTAATGCTTTAGAGCTAATCTATATGTGGAGTATCATTAACCCACAACTGCTCATAACAATTTTAGGGAAAAAAATCAAGTGACATCAGGAGGGAGAATAAAATGCAAACTGACCTTGTGTTTATAGTGAATGAGTTTAGAAAATATAGTTTGAGCACACTGAAGGAAAATTTTTATTTTTTTTTTATTTTTTTATTTTATTGATGTTTTAATGGTTTCTAACATTGTGAAATTTTGGGTTGTACATTTTTGTTTGTCCATCACCACATATATGACTCCCTTCACCCCTTGTGCCCACCCCCCACCCCCACTGCCCTGGTAACCACAGTCCAGTTTTCTCTGTCCATGTGTTGGTTTATATTCCACATATGAGTGAGATCATGCAGTGTTTGTCTTTCTCTTTCTGGCTTATTTCACTTAACATAATACGCTCCAGGCCCATCCATGTTGTTGCAAATGGGACGATTTTGTCTTTTTTTATGGCTGAGTAGTATTTGAAGGAAATTTTTTAAAAATTGTAAGATTCAAAGTAAGGAGAAATGAAGTTAGAGCAAAAATTAGTCTGCACAGGTAAAATATATAAAAGTTCACTATTGGCAAAGTACTGATTTTGTAAACATAGGGATGAACTGTTAATCATTTTCCTATCTGTTGTTTTCATCTCTTTTTGCCCCAGCATTTTAAGAAAGAACAATTATAGACTAACACTTTTTATTATTATGTGCTATTTGTGAAATTGATATTGTCTTCTCATGTATATTTGTTATAGGTCCGTTTATTTGTAGATGTTGATTTGCGTTGTATCCAAATCTTCACATGACAAGCAAGACAAAGCACTATATTTTGGCCTCCTTAGTGGAGCGATGATTATGCAGAGTGCATTTGCATTTGGCTATTCTGGACTCATTGTTTTTCTCCTTTTGAAGACAGAACACACTCCAAATATCTGGTGTGGAGATGCTTCCTCCCCTGTTTAGTAAGCCCTGATCGTGGCCATAGTACATTCTAATTTTTAATCTCACTTTAATCTTTGCTACAGCTCTGCGATTGATATCATCGTTCCCATTTTATAGAATAAGAAACAGAGGCTCACCTAGTTTGTCTTTTCAGGGTCTCACAGCTGGTAAGGGACTGGGTGGGGGCTTGGATTATGGCACTGTGAGAACATACACTGGGAGAGAGGCACAAGGGGAGATGGAAAAATTACCAGAATGAGAGCAAATCCTGAACTACTGCTTAGAAAAATCACTTAAAAGTTGACGTTGTCTCCTCATCGGAAAGTGAAATAAGTGTTTTCTAATGTCCCTTGGTCTCTGAAATAGATGTGTAACTCCTTGACCTTCTGCAGTTCTCCTAACGAGAAACAAAACTCACCCCTTCACTCCTGCTCCCAAAGGGATAGAAGATCCTATTTTATAGAATTTACTATTTTGAAAAATCTGCAAGTGAGCGTGTAGATGCTCTTACTTTACACGGATGCTTTGGACTTCTTCAGTTACCTTATGAGACTTTCTGCAATCCTTATTATGGGAAGAAAATAAATCATGACTCGCTGCCTGAGAATAAAGTTACAACCTAATAGGTAATACTGGAAGCAATAAACATTAATTAATATTTAAAGTAATAAATAAAGATCCCCTCTAAGGACTTTATTGTAGGCTTGCCATGATGCAATCTTATAATTTTTTAAAAACTTTGTTCAGGGTTTCTTTTCAACAGAAACTTTGGAAGTGACCTGGCAGTTTTGCTGTTATTGTAAATGAGTTTTGAACATATTCTTTGAAAACTCAAGTCTGTCACAGTTAGTTTCTGGTTTTCTTCTCTCATCAGAAGTTGGCACTGTCAATTTTAAGAGTGTTATTTGTCTCTCAAGACACTTAGATTTGCTATGACAAATCAGAAAAAAAAAGAAATAGACAAATGTCAAAACTGTAATTTTTGTCAAATAAGCTCCAAGTAAACTAATTTATTTTAGGTTTAATAACGTTACCCTGGGTTATGGATTATATTATACCTTTGTCTTGCTATGCGTTATGTATTTCCCAGACGTAGAATATCATCAAGTGTTCCCCCGACTTGTTTGATTGTAGAACCTTTTGTTTTACCTGACACATCCCCCAGGACTAGTGTTCCTAAGAACGCGTTTTGAGAAAAGCTTATTTATGTAAACACTGACCCCTTAGCACTCGATGTTTTTAAAATCACTGCAATGAAATATACAATCTTGTGTACTGTTTGATGAGTTTGAACACATACATACATACTCCGCTGGTGAGAGAGAGAGCATTTCCATTACCTCAGTAACTTCCTTTGTGCCCCTTCCCAGTCAGTGTCTCCCACTTCTGCAATCCCTTTTCTGACTTTTTTCACCATGGATTAGTTTAGCTTGTTGTAGCTCTTCATGCAAATGGAATCATATGTTGTGTCCAGCTTTTTGCTTAGCATATGCCTATGAGATTTATGTTGTCAGGGGTAGCAGTAGTTCATTCTTTTAAATTATTGAGTATATTCTTATTGTATGAATATACCACGGTTTTTTATCTGTTCTGTTGATGGACTTTTGGATTGTTTACAGTTTTTGGCTATTATGAATAAAACAGCTATGAACGTTCTTGTAAAAATCTTTTTTGTGGATACACATTTACATTTCTTCTGTCAGATACCCAAGAGTGAAATTACTGGCTCATAGGTGGGTATAGTTTAACTGTATAACAGTGTTAGCAAAATTTAGTGTGCATCAGAATCACCTGGAAGGCTTATTAAATGCAGATTGCTGGCCCCACCTCTAGAGGTTTCTTTTAAGTGCTTTATTGAGGTATGATTGACATACAAAAAGATGTGCATGTTTGATGTATACACCCTGATGAGGTTGGAGATAAACATACATTCAAAAACCATTACCACAATCTATGCCATAAACATAGCCATCAACTTCAAAAGTTTCCTCCTGCGCTATTTATTAATTATTATTATTATTTTTGTGATAACAGCACTTAACATAAGATCTACCCTCTTAGCAAATTTTTAAGTATACAGTACAGTATGGTTGACTATCGGCACTATGTACAGTAGACCTCTAGGACTTACTCATCTTGTATGACTGAAATTTAGTACACTTTGACTAATAGCTCCTAGTATCCCCCTCCTCCCAGCCTCTGGCAACCACCGTTCTACTCTCTGTTTCTATGAGTTTGACTATTTTAAACACCTCATATAAGTGGTATAATTCTGTGTCTGGCTTATTTCACTTTACATAATGTCCTCCAGGTTCATCCATGTTGTCACAAATGGCAGGATTTCCTTTTTTAAGGCTGAATAATATTCCACTGTATGTATATACCACATTTTCTTTATCCATTCATCCATTGATGTACATTTAGGTTGCTTCTATATTTTGGCTATTGGGAATAATGCTGCAGTGAACATGGGAGTGCAGATATCTCTTTGAGATCTTGATTTTAGTTCCTTTGGCTCTATACCCAGAAGTGGGATTGCTGGATCAGAAGGTATTTCTATTTTTAATTTTTTGAGGAGCTTTTGTACTGTTTTCCATAGTGCCTACACAAATTTCTAGAGTTTTTGATTCAGCACATCTTGGATGGGTTATGAAAATTTGCGTTTCCAACAAGTTCCCAGTAATGTTGATGCCACTAGTCCAGGGATCGCACTTTGAGAACTGCTGTTGTGTGAGAAATTGCTGAACCTTTTTCCAAAGTGATTATACCATTTTACATTCTGATCAGCACTATATGAGAGTTCTAATTGCTCCACATCTTCATCAACATTTGGTGTGTCATTCTTTAGTGAAGGTCAGCAATGGAAGTGAAGGTCGAGTTGGCTATTTAGAAGATTCTCAATAAAGAATGTGATGTATTTATAGGAGAAATATGAGAAAAACTTTGGAATAAGTTAGAACAGGAATACTGTTTGAGATTTTTTTGAATTGTATTCATTCATGATATGTTTATTCAGTATTAATATGAACACAATTACTTAGGTTAATGTTCTGTGTTATCAAGTGCAATATTATGTATATATTATAAAATTTAAAATAGTTATAATTATATAATTTATAAATTATAATTTATAAAAATTATTAATTATAATGATCATTAATAAAGTATAATTATATACTTTATACTAGGAAGGACTAGTAAAACTTTGTCCTGTATGAAAGAAACCTGACAAATGCACTAAGTTTAATTTAATTTACTTTTATTTCCTTTTAGAATTCCAACAAGTAAACATCACTCCACCAAAATTTATTTTAAAACCAAGACCAAAAAGGATTAAGCGACAGGTATGTGTTCACAGGTATATGTCATGATGTTTTAAAAACACTTGGCAACTGCCAATCAATTAAATCTACATGAAGTCTGTGAGAGGATAAGTACTAGTTCAGGTGTTTGTCAGGGTATGGAAAACAGTAATGGTGATGGATTTGTAGGAACAATGCAGATGGGGCCATATTATTTCATAGACTAAAAAAGGACTCAATATAGTGGTGATAATATGGTTATTCATCATATAGATGGATTATGGAGCCTCTGCTCTGGCATATCAGATTCTTTCTACCATTGGCCTCTTTCCTTGCCTGGGTATGCAACCACATCATGGAGTCTACTTGTATGGTATATATCCTTGTATTTATCCCCTTAAAGATACTCCCTTAAGAGTGAATCCATCAGGTTTTGAAGCCACAAAATGCTATTCTCATACTTGAGCTACTTTGGAGTCTGGGATATAAAGTCAGGATGTTCGATGGATCTTGGATTTAGTAATAATGATAACAACTGTTCATACAGTGCTTTAAACCACATGAAGTAGGTACTCTTTATTCCCCTTTCACAGGAAAAACAAAAGGATGGCTCTGAAATGTGAAAATGACCTGCCCAGAATCATAGAGCTGGGAAATGGTGTAGACAAAATAAGAACTCTGGTCCTCAGAATTAACATATCATCACCATTGTGGTGGTGGTTGGTGTGAGTGTGTGTGTGTAGCATAAAAACACAGGCTGAGGGAAGTTGATCTCTAGTAAGATCAAGCAGTTGAAGGAACCAGGTATTTTCCTTTTAAAATATGTTGTGTAAGTATGAAATAAAATATGTGTACAGACAGATTTCTAATGTGAATAATTATTGCTGAATTTTATTAAGCAGTTACTATGTGCCTGGCCCTGTTCTAAGAATTTTAATTGTATTAACAGATTTAATTCTCATAACAATTTTATGAGGAAGGTACTATTATTATCCTCATTTTACTGATAAGGGCATTGAAGCATAAGAAGTTTAAGAAACTTGCCCACAGTCATATAGGGTTACCCAGTGGTGGAGCTGGGATTCTGAGCTAGGAAGTCTGGTCTCAGAGAAGTGCTTTATAACCACATATGCTTTATATACGGCCTCTCAGAAGCCCTTGTGTTCCATGAATTACTACCATCTGCTTTATGTAGTTTGTGAATATAGATAGATATATCCAGTTAAATGGATAAAAATAATTGCCATCAGGATTTAATTTGAAACAGTATTTATTTTCGTGAATTGTGAGATGCGAGAATAGGATAACTTTCTTTTGACACATTCCTTGAAGTTCTTCATTAACATCTGCAACATGCAGTCATTTACTAAGCAGACAAACTCTTGATTTCTCTTTCTGAGAGAACTGTGGCCTTATGGAGGTGAGGTGTTATAAAACTGTGTGGCCAATATGGCAGCTCTGTGATGTTAAGACAATGTTGAAATTCGTTAGAAAGTTTACTGTATTAACTGGTAAGGCTCAGATCTCTCCCACAATTAACAAAGCAGATACTGTCTTCCTAAAAACATCAATTTTTTAAGAGACTCTTGTCATTGGATGCAGTTATATTACTTTTTGGTTTTCAAATCCAGAATTATAGTCTATTATTCTCTGTCAACTTGGTGTTATAAGGAATTTTGAAAAAAAATTTTTTTTTAATTTTGGAAACAATGAAACAAAATCCACGTGGTAGAAATTTTTTAGTTTGTTTTAAAGGCAGTACTCAAAATAGACATTCATGTATTGATTTAGGTTTGATTGTATACCCTCATCACAAAAATGGCCCTTGGGCAAATGAACAAAAGATTTACTGAAAAAATGTATATCGAAGCATGACATAAAGGAAAAAGTTAATTTTACAGATCTTGTTAAAGATTGTATTATAGACTAACTGCCAAGAACAAAGGGATGTTGCTGCCTTAGTGGCTCTTTCCATTAACATTCATTGATCATGATATGGAAGGCGGAGAAAATTTGTTGTTGAATAGACATATATAGTTGCAGTAGATAACCCAAGGCTGCCTCCGAGCTCTCAAAACTGTCCTAACAAAGCTCCTGTATCATTTGGGGGAATCCCCTGAACCCTACCAGAGGAAAGGGCGTGTCTCAATCCCACATTTGGGGATTATAGAATAAAAGTGCCAATCACCCACTCCCTACAGACCTCTCAGAAATGGCTTAAACCATTTGTTACCATCTCCAAGATAGATTGTTAAATGAAAATGGCCTCATGCAAAAGAGAGTGAATTAAATGGAAGTACAAAATCAAATATACGTCGTATTTGATTTTATATGCATAAATATATCTGGAAGAAACCAGTAATTGTGGTGTACCCATTGTGGAGGAAAAGGTAAACTAGGTAGATGGGGGACAGAGGTGAGAGGAAGACTTGCATCCTATACCTTTTTATAATTCTGTAACAGAATTCTTGAACCATGTACGTTTATTACTTACTCAAAAACTAAGTAAATTGATGAAAATGAAAAAATAAATACCAAATGAATAAAAGGGGAAATTTTGTTTCATTTCTCCCATATTTTTTAGTTTACTTTTTTATTTTTAAATTTTTTTCAGCTTTATTGAGGTATAATTGACAAATAAAATTGTAAGATATTTAAAGTATACAACGGGATGATTTGATACACGCATACATTGTGAGAGGATTCCCCCCATGGACTTCATAAACACGTCCATCACCTCACATATTTATTTATTTATTTTTTTTTGTGGTGAGACCATTGAAGTTCTGTTCTCTCGGCAAATTTCAGTTATACAATACAGTGTTATCAATGTAAGTATCCATCAATGGACAAATGGTCAAGAAAATATGGTATATAGACAATGGAATATTATTTAGCCTTAAAAAAAGAAGGAAATCCTGTCATTTGTGACACCATGGATGAACCTAGAGGGCATTATGCTAAGTGAAGTAAGCCAGATAGAGAAAAACAAATACTGCATGGCATCACTTAGATGTGGAATCTAAAAAAAAAAAAAGTCAAACTCAGAAACAGAGAGTATAAAAGTGGTTGCCAGAGGCTAGAGGTGGGTGGGGAAAATAGGGAGAGGTGGTAAAAGGGTACAGACTTCCAGTTATAAGATAAATAAGGTCTGAGGATCTAATGTATAACATATTTTTTAGCCTTACACAGCCAAGTTCAGAGGGCTTATTTAGGTGCTATTTCCTATATTATATTGCAGCTTCGACGACATCCTCGTAACGTAGAGGAGGAAACCAAATACATTGAACTGATGATTGTGAACGACCATCTCATGGTAGGATTTGCTGAGTTTTTGTTGTTGGAACTTGTCCATGCCTAGGGTAAAACTGGCGGGGGCAGAAATATATTTAGAAGAAAGAAGCCCATAAAGTTGCAACCTGGAGGAGGTATTTATGTAACCGCACATATTTGTTACCCAGCAACAACCTGCAAGTAGGAAACACTCTGGGGTGGAAGTAATTAACAGTATTTTGTGAGGTTCTGAAAATATTTCTGTGACTCATAATGTCAACTCTTTGGATTTACTTGATTAATATAGGGCCTAATATCTCCTCTTACTAAAATGGCAAAGTTTAAAAAAATTAGAAACTTCTATTTTATATTGAAAAAGTAAGTGAGGCACCAAAACGTGACACTGTAGTTTGCAGTGTATGGGTTTATTCTAATAAAAGAAAAGCAATTTTTCTATTTCTGTCTTACTATGCAGTAAACGGTATGGAAAAGCTTATATAGCAAAGCAGTGAAGATTTTTAGGTTAAGAACCAAGCAAAACTTCTTTTTTATTGAGTCAGTTGTTTGTTATGTTCAATTCAGGAATATATTCAATTCATGGGCATGTTGTATATTCAATTCATGGGCATGTTGCAGTCAGGGTGGTTACATTCACAGCACAGCATGAGTTATAATGCTAATTGTTCCATGTAACCACAGTTTTAAACTAAAAATGTTCAGTGATGAACACTGCTGAATTTTATTTAATTTCAGGTGCAATACATTTTAATTTACTTTGAATGATTTATTTGATGGAAAATATGTCATTTATTTACATATGATTAAACAAATAATACCAATTTTAATGTTTAATGTTGATAATAATAATAATAATAATAATACAATCCAGATTGAGTGCTTCTTTCTTGTTCGGGCTAGGACTAAGTTTTGTCTTTTACCTATTCAAATTCAGTGAATGTTACTATTCCCTGAGATTTTTACAAAATAAAAATAAGTTGCAAGGACATATATTTTGGACAGTTTAGGATATCACAAATTCAGATGTCTGTAGACATCTACCTGTAGGCAGATAACACAAGTGAAGTGAGCCAGGTATAAAACACAAAAGAAGTGAGCCAGGTATAAAACAATAGGGACAGGTGAGGCCTGTGGCAAAAGAGAAGTCACATGGCCTGTCTCATGGGAGCAGCTACTTCTCAGTGCTTGCCAATTATTACCATGTGGGAATGCTAATTTTAAATGAAGCTACAAACTAGGTTTTATATGATATTTCCTGATTTTTAAAACAGCATTGAGGCCAAACAAAAGATATATGTGGTCCACATCTAGCCTTATAAGCCACCTCTTTGTGACCCTTAGGGCTTTCTTCCTCTTAATGAACAAGTTTTGTAGAACTTACAAATTTTTATACTTTTAGTAGTATTTAGATTCACTTTTTCTGGCTTTGACCCTACTTGTATTTGTATGTCTTGCAATTCATAGACAACTTTCATGTGTTTTAACCTTGTTATCATTTTATCATTTTTGAATAAAAATCACGTGATAAAAATAAACTTGTAAAATAAATGGAATAGGTATTTTTTATTTCATCTTGCAGATGAGTAAACTGAGGCCTCAAAGCTTTAAGAGCCTTGCCTCAGATTACATAGCATATAAAGACCTCAACTTGGACAATTTTTACAGAAAGCCTTGGAGATCTTTCATGTTTTCTCAGCTGAGGTGATTATTTGCTGATGACTTTGAAAGCCCTCCACTTGTTTTCTTTTGCTTTCAGTTTAAAAAACATCGGCTTTCAGTTGTACACACCAATACGTATGCGAAATCTGTGGTGAACATGGCGGATTTAGTAAGTATCAACCCGATTCAATGTTGCCAGAGAGGAATTTTATCTCCTGATTGCTAATAGAATGGATAATAGGGTTTTTATATTTTCACTACTCTGAAGTGAACTTTAGCCAGGGTGTCCCATAAGTCCCTGGTAACCTTGCAGTTGACTTTATTGACTTTGATCTCTGACTGGGAAGATGATAAAAGGAAGTGGTCAAAGTTACCCACAGATTTATGCCTGGAATTCCTTCCTGAATTTTTCACATTGGAAAAGAAAAGGTTGAGTCATAGTCCCTAACAAAGATATTCACAGTGTATGTCTAACAATGGAAAAGCAGTATAACAGCTGTGCCTTTTTCAAAAAAGCACCTAGTGCTATGGGAATGATGCAACTAAATAATTCTACAGTGCCTACTTTCAAATCTTCCCTCGATAAGGCAGTGCCAATATCTTCTCTATGAGTTTAATCGGGGCCAGTCAGGTTGTATAGAAATTATTTCTTTGGAGAGTCTTCATTGTTCCACTTTTTGCTAGGGGAACTCAAGAATGCATGAATTCTTTGTCTAGGGTGTCAGAAAATGGACTTAGGGGAGCCTTGAATAAGGGTGAAAGTGTTTGTCAAAAAGTGACCTTTCGTTTCTAACTAGTGCTGTTCTTTGAGTACTACTTGGTACTGTTTACTGCTTTGATTCTCTGCTAAGAAAAATGCATGTAAATTAAAAATAATTCTCTCTCTTAAAAATAGTAAAGTTTCTTACATTTAACTAAAACTCAAGGAGTTTCCATAAAAGGAGCTTTGTAATCCTGTTCATAAATCATCTGATTTTACCACATGTACAGCTGGCGTGTTCATTTTGTTAATATACTAGATTTATAAAGACCAACTTAAGACAAGGATAGTATTGGTTGCCATGGAAACCTGGGCGGCTGACAACAAGTTTGCCATATCTGAAAATCCATTGATCACCCTACGTGAGTTTATGAAATACAGGAGGGATTTTATCAAAGAGAAAAGTGATGCGGTTCACCTTTTTTCGTACGTAACTTTTGTAATGATTTATTACTTTTTTTAGTTCCGTGTTGAATGCTCTATTACTTGTGACTGAGATGTATCCTTCCTACTACATAATGCAATTAGGATTTGACATGGAAGATAGATTTGGAAGAAGTTTTAAAGTATAAATTGTTTGAAAATGTCATGAAAATTTGAGGTTTAATTTTGATTTATTTTATTTTGCATGTATATTTCATTTAATTTTTCAAGAGATTTAATCAGAGCATTTACTGAATAAAAGTACAGTTAATACTCATAAAGAGTATTCTTAACAACAGATTAATTATATTCTTTAAAGTTGCTATTTTTTAAATGTTAATTTTATCTTTGTTTTTGCTTTAAGGTGAGAGCTTGGTATTTCTGGAGTTTATTTTTTATTTTTTCTCACTCTTTTAGGTTTTTTTTTGTAACATGCATATTTGATGTAATAGCAAGTTATATATAGTAGCATTTTAAAAACCAATCATCTGAAGTCAGAGCTGTTGAAGAAAATTATAAATGGAAGTAAAAGAGTGTATCTTTTGGGTAACTTTATTTTTACATAATTTCAAATTTACAGAAAGCTTGCAAGAATCCTACAAGAAAATGCTCTATGCCCTTTACCCAGATTCATCAGTTGTTTACATTTTGTCCCATTTGTTTTATGAGTTTTTTCCTTTTATCCTTTTTCTGTCCTTTCCTTTCTTTCTTCCTTTCATCCATTCATCTATCTATCAAATTTTTTTTCCTGAACCATTTGAGAGTAAGTTGGAGACATTTACCTGCTGGGCCTTTATTAATAAAGACTGAAGACATTTTCTTATGTAATCATAGTAAATTATTAAAACCAGAAAATTTAACATTTGTATAATACTTTTATCTAATCTACAGTCTATATTCAAATTTCACTAATTGTTTCAATAATGTCTTTTATAGCTAATTCTCCACACATCGCCCGCCCCCCGATCCAGGATCACACATTACATTTAATTGTCATGTCTCTTTGGTCCCCTTTAATCTGAAAGATTTCCTCAGCCTTTCTTTGTCTATTTTGAGGTGACCATTTTTGAAGAGTATAGGCCAGTTATTTTATAGAATGTTGCTCATTGTGGAAATGTCTGGTGTTTTCTCATTATGAGATTCAAGTCATGCATTTTTGGCAGAAATACCACAGAAGTGATTTTTGTATGCTTCTCTGAGTCCATCATATTAGTAATTTTTTTAATAGGTATAGTTCTATTTAAGATATTTATTGATCATGTGGGGAAACATCCCTCAGAAACCTTTTCCTTTGGTTATGTGTGTAAACAATTTTCATATTCCTCCTTTACCTCAGGAATATATAGTACAGAAGTGTTATGTGCAATGAGGAAATAAATGCAGTAAATTAATAATGAGAGGTGCTATGATATGTGAACTGTGAGCAGTAAGCATTTTTCATTTCCTTTTCTAAAAGGGGGAGTCAATTTGAGAGTAGCCGGAGCGGGGCAGCTTATGTTGGTGGGATTTGCTCGTTGCTGCAGGGAGGCGGCGTGAATGAAGTAGGTGTGAACATCTGTACAGTACAAAGTGGCATGACAGCTGAAAAGGTTTTCCTAATATTTTTAAGAGATAACTTCTCAGTATTCCATGTTTTCCAAATGTTAGGTTGTGTTATTAACAACCAGTATGGTTACTGTAAATGACCAGTGACAGAAATAATGGAAGATACTATCTGATAATTCTGTTTATGTTCTACTTAGAGTAATTGAGTCAATTCTGACTCCTAGCGACCTGCTATCACAGGGTTTTTTTTTTTGTGAGGAAGATCAGCTCTGAGCTAACATCTATGCTAATCGTCGTCTTTTTGCTGAGGAAGACCGGCTCTGAGCTAACCTCTATTGCCAATCCGCCTCCTTTTTTTCCCCCAAAGCCCCAGTAGATAGTTGTATGTCATAGGTGCACATCCTTCTAGTTGCTGTATGTGGGATGCGGCCTCAGCATGGCCGGAGAAGCGGTGCGTCAGTGCGCACCTGGGATCTGAACCCGGGCCGCCAGTAGCGGAGCGCGCGCACTTAACCGCTAAGCCATGGGGCCGGCCCCTATCATAGGGTTTTCATGGCCAATTTTTCTGGAAGTCATGGCCAGGTGCTTCTTCCTAATCTGTCTTAGTCTGGAAGCTCCATTGAAACCTGTCCACCAGGGGTGACCCTGCTGGTATTTGAAATACCGGCAGCATAGCTTTCAGCATCACAGCAGCCAAAAGATGGGTGGTGTGGTTTCTTGACTGGGAAATGAACCCAGGCCAGGGTGGTGAGAGCACTGAATCTTAACCACTAGACCACCAGGGCTGGTCTTGACTTTTACCATCATTGTAAATAGGCCCTGTTTATCACTTTGACTGATTTTCCGGAAAATTGAGTAGTTACCTGAAGCATTGGCTCACTGCCTAACACCCAATTGGAGATTTTCTTTCTTCGTCAATATTTGACAAATTTTTGGAGAAAAACAATAGACTAGGTTTTCCAAAGGGTTCCTTCTACCCTTAAGGCACTAAACCTGATAGAAATAGTTGAAAAAAAAAAAATACTTGAATCTTTGGGAGGCTATATGAAAAAAATATCCTTAGATCTTCTCAAATTTCTTTTGGCCAAAGATCATCACCACTTCCTGTTACTCATACCATTTGTTTTCTGAAGCCACATGTATTCAACTTGGGGGAAATTTTAGGAGTGCAAGTGGACACACAAAGATGAAAGAGTTCCAGATAATTTATTTTTATTTTGTATTATCCAAAAGACTGGTTTAATTATATACAAGTATCAAGTTTCTCAGGAATATCACTGGTGAAATTTGGACTCAGAATTAGATTTAAGTTTCCAAACCCAAAAGTTGACGTTTCCCTGGCTTTTAGTCTTCCCTTTAAGACTTAATCAAACATGCATTTATTTCTTACCACTTCTTCCCAAATGCTTAATAGTTCAACACTAGCTATTATCTGTTTAACCTCTGCTAAAAAAATGCTTAGAAATTACTTATTTTCGATTATATTGTCACTTTTTTTTCTGGCCCATCGTAAAGGATAATTTGCATTTACACGTATTTTATTTTTGCTTTTGTTTTTCAGTTTGGGAAAACTGATTTAATGGCAGTTACACTTGCCCAGTCATTAGCCCATAATATTGGTATTATCTCAGACAAAAGAAAGTTAGCAAGTGGTAAGTTTAAATACGCGTGTGGTTTGGTTGTATTTAAGATAGACTATCTGTAAAATATTTGGGAGAATGAGATTCTTTAATTCAGTTGCTTGATCAAAAGAGTTTGGGTGATAGTGTAAGATAAATAGCCAGGTCACAAAATATTTTTTCAAAAGTAATACAATGTAATGTTTACATTACAGATGAAAAGTTCTCCATGTTTAATAAACATTTAAAGCTATGATAAATTCATAGTTGAATTTAACCTAAAAAAGGACAAATAAGCTCAGTTTGGTAATATTAAATCGTCTCATAGAGAATCCTAGCATATAGGTTTGAGGCATACTGTTATATTATGGTTTATTTAAAACATCTCTTAGTATGGCCACAGAGGTAGAACTTGCCTGCCAGGATGACACCTGATAAAAGGCTTAGTAAAATATGGACCTAGTAAAATATGCTAGGTTTAGCATCTATGAAGACTATGTTTTCCCAAATGGGTAAAGTTACTTCACCAGGAATGGTCAAAAATTGTGTTGGGAGTAAGTTGATTATAACCATGTTTATTTTATTACTTTAATAACAAATATTATAAATATTATTGTTTACATTAGTAATGGTTATTACCATTTATGGAGTACCCATTATATGGAATATATATGTCCTATTTATAATGGGACAGATAATTGAATGCCAGTATTATCTATATCTAGATAGTTATTTAATCCTCAAGATAATCCTGCAAGATACTCATTACTAGCCCTACTTTATAGATAAGGTGAATGGATCTTAAAAGGGTAATGCCTCCAAGATGACATATATATTAAATGGCAAGCCCAGGTTTTGAACCTGGGTATTTCTGATTCTGAAGCCCTTCTGCTTAACCAATATACTATACCTTCTACCCCCGGCCTTGGTGCAGAGGTTTTAAAAATGGACAAGAAATTGTAAGAATTCCCATAAAGGCCGATGAAACCAGAATTCTATAATGGCGTGTCACTATTTCATTGGTATTTGTTAAGCCATTTTAAGGGAATGCTTTAAAAATATGTCCACTTGTTAAAATATTGAAAGATTTTATTTTAGTAAAAATTAAATAATCTTGATAGGGTCAAAGTAGATTTTTGTTGTAATGCATTGCATAGAAAATTTAAAATATAAGGAAGATTATAAAGCAGGTATTACTTTTTTAAAAGTATATAAGGAATAAAGTGAAGATATACTTTTTAAAAGAGGAACCATTCTAACACACCTGTTTTCACTTTGTAAAAACGTGTATGTATTCATTTTCTCTTAGGCGAGTGTAAATGTGAGGACACATGGTCTGGATGCATAATGGGAGACACCGGGTGAGCCACTTCTTTTTGAAAATAACTCACTTTTCTTTTCCGTGCTGTGCTGTTGTCTTAGGAGTATGACACTCAAGAACTTAGTGCGTGGAAGCTCATCACAGGCATTGACGAGAAAATCCGAAGTAGATTTTCTCAATGGCTTCGTATGTAAAATATTTTCACAAAATAGTCTCTTATTTATGAAAACAATCGATGTCAATTAAGCTAGTAGATCAAAGACTTTTTTAGCCTTGAATCTAGGCTAGAAATGTAAGAAATGAGGAAGAACTTTGTTCTTGATGGCTTACCTACTAATTCCCTTTCCTTTTATCTTCTTTAATTCTTATTAAACGGGTTATAAACAGTCTTGTGCTGGTAAGCTGACTCTGGAAAAAAAAAAACAAAACAAGAAAAGAGCCTCGATTTGTAGCTTTCTCAGATTTCTAGCAACCTTCTCCCGTAGGTAGAAGCCTGTGGTGTAAATACTCCCACAATGGCTGATTCCAAGCTACCAATGGTATGTCACTGAACAAGGAGTAAGAAGTGATGTGCACAATCTGCTCTTTTGAGAAAAGGTTTCATGTTTATACTGTCTTACCCTTCACACAGTATCTGGCACCTCTCTTTTACTCTTTCTAAATAAATTTTACAACCATTCCTTTCATGCCAAGCTCATCACTACCCCCTTATTTTAAGCTTTTATCATCTTGTGCTCTTATTATTTCAGTGACATTCCAGATACTCAGGCAGGTTTCAGATTCTCTCTCTCCGATCCTGAACACCACTTCCATCATAATTGAAAAGGTATACAGAATAAAAGAGTGAACATTTGTATACATCACCTAGCTTAAAAAAATGAAACACTGCCTACGTAGTTAAATCTTCTTTGCGTTCTCTGTCATTGGTCCCCAGCCCCAGTGAAGGTAACCACCATCTTGAATTTGGTTCCTATCATTCACAAGTCCTTTTTTTATACTTTTATTGAGTATATTTGTGTGTGTTGAGGTAATACATAACATTGCTTTGCATGTTTTCAATTTATATGAAAGGCGTCATACTATATGTATGTCTTCTATGACTTGCTTATTTTGGTCAACTTTATCTTTGTGAGATTCCATGATGCTGATAATATATAGCTCCTCTTCATTGAATGTATACCGCACAATTTCTCCATCCTTCTCTCTCTTTTTTTTTTTTTGTGAGGAAGATCAGCCCTGAGCTAACATCCATGCTAATCCTCCTCTTTTTTTGCTGAGGAAGACCGGCTCTGAGCTAGCATCTATTGCCAATCCTCCTCCTTTTTTTTCCCCAAAGCCTCAGTAGATAGTTGTATGTCATAGTTGCACATCCTTCTAGTTGCTGTATGTGGGACACTGCCTCAGCATGGCCGGAGAAGTGGTGCATCGGTGCGCGCCCGGGATCCGAACCCGGGCTGCCAGCAGCGGAGGGTGCGCACCCAACCACTAAGCCACGGGGCCAGCCCTCTCCATCCTCTTAATGCATGTGGATTCATGTGTCACACACAGATCATGTCATTTTCCTGCTCAGAACTTTTGTGAGTCTCTATTGTTTAAAGAATAAGGTTCAGATTCCTTCCTCCAGTATTTAGATGTCCATAATCTTTCTTTATTCTCATTTGCAAATCTCATTTTCCACTACTATTCATGATCTGTTTGCTTACTAGAATTGTACTTGGGTTTCCAGCTTTTTTAATTTGCTAACCATAATCCTACATGGATTTTCAGCTTCTTAAAAATTTGCTCACCATAATTGTACGTGGATTTCCAGCCTCTTTTGATTTCTTCAATAAATTCTCTTCATCTGGAATTCTCAGTTTTCTCTATCTAACCACATTTCTATCCATTTGAAACTTATTATAGTTTTTAACTCCTGCATTATAATTTAATTCTGTGTTTCCTTATGCTTCCCCTCACCAATTAGTTGTAAATTTTTGAGGATTACATCTTACGCTAATTATATTTTTGTCAGACCTCACACCATAATATCTTGTACAGACTTGATTTTCAATAAATATTTATTGATTATGTTTGAATTTTGAACTCCCAAGATATGTATGACAAGGAAAATAAATGATGGGGGGAATGTACATGCAAACACGTGTTTAAAATATTTTTCAAAATATCTTTGGACTTTCTGCTTAGTAGTAAAAGGAAATGATAAAAGTCCTTTTCTGTAGATGCAATTTTCTAACAATTACTAAATTCTGTGCTAGAGGTTATTGTCTTTTAAAAGCTATGTTGTGTATTATAATTGACTATTCTGATTAACTATTAAAAATAAAATTTTATAGACAATCTGCCTAGCACTACGCATAACCTGTAGCAAAATCAAATGATGACACTCAGATATGTATAGCTCTTTGCATTGGAACTCTTCTTACATCACATAGATGCATGCAAGAGAAAAGCTCTTTACATAAAACATTGTCTGGTATGACGTTATATATAATTTAATCTGTGCCAAATATCATCTAACATCTAATTATGGACATATGTTTTCCCTGGGTAAATTCCCTTCCATTTCTTCTTTCTGAAGTTCCTCTGTACTGCCAAATGTTGGAAAGCATTGTTGAAATGAATACCAGTCCTATTTAAAGGTATAAAAATTAAAATTTTAAGACTGCATTGACTATAATAGGTATGTTATCCTGCAAAAAAGAAGTTTTGGGGCAGAGCCTAGGAAGAGACATGATATCTTCTTTCAGATATTTGAAGGGCAGTGGTATGGTAGAGGAATTAGTCTTGTTTGATACAGTTAACAACACAGACTGTAGCTGTGTGCGGCAGGTACAGGAAGTCAGATGGGGCACAGTGGAGGTAAGAGCAGTCCACAAATATCAACTGTGCATTTATAAAAAGAGCTTCCCTGTGAGGGAATGGGTTTCCTGTCGGTGTTGGAAAGCAGACTGAGCTCCCAGCTGTGCAGTGGGCAGAAGGCTGGGCTAGCCTGAGACTCCTGAGGGTGCCTTTCCAGGGCAAGGGCTGAACTGGACTTTGACTTCTAAGGGTCCAACACTGAGAGTTAGTGACTTTCTTCTTTAACAGTAGGGAGCCATCTCAGGATTTGGCCAGTAGAATAAAGAGGCAACTTGGAGAAAGCCCTGTTTAAATTTGATAACTCTGGCAGAGATATGTAGTATGGATTACAGGGGAAGGTGATTAAAAAATTGGCTGGGTGGTAGGCTTAAAGCAACTTAAGGTTAAAGCAAACTTAACTGCTACGCCACTGGGCCGGCCCCTCTTTATTCATTTTTTAACTTAATGTTATATAGTCAGCATTTTTCTGAGTCTTCATTCTTCAACACCATGATTATTAATAACTACATGGTATTCTATTTTATTAATATATCATGGTTTAGTTAACATTTTTCTTACTATTGAACATTTAGGTTATTTTCATGTAATTTGCTATTATAAACTGTGCTACAATAAATATCTTTGTTCAGACATCTTTGTACACATAGCTAATTATTTCCACAAGAAAAATTTCTAAAAGAATGACTAGATTTAAGGGTATTTCTCATTTTGAAGGTTCTTAATGCATATTGCCAAATTGCTCTATAGCCAAGTTTCTTTTTCTATTGACCCTTTATTACTTTTGTTTGGTATACATTTTTCTTTTCTTGTATTTTGAAACAATCTGAAACTTGAAAAGTTGCAAGAATAGTAACAGAGAACCTTTTTGTTCCTAAATCCGAAGTTGCTAACTTGGTGCCCATCACCCCAAACACCTTAGTGTGCGTTTCTACAAACAAGGACATCCTCCTACAGAACCACAATACAACCAATCAAGTCGTCTAATTCTTAGCCCTCATTCAAGATTGGCCCTGTGTTTCAATAATGTAATTTTAGCAAAAGGTTCAGAATCAGGCATCACATTTAGTTTTTATGTCTCTTAGCCTCCTTCAGTCTTTAACAGTTCCTCAGTCTTTCTTTGACTTTCATGACCTTGACACATTAATGTTATAGGTCAGTTATTTTGCAGAATACTTTGCAGTTTGGGTTCCAGCCCAGTTTTAATATTTAGGAAAGATTCATTATGAAATAAATTATTCCTAACTCTCTTTGATCGAAATTACAGGAACTCTATGTGTGTGTTTCCTTTGACTGGGTGTGCAAGTAATGAGCAACCCATAGTCACCATTAGTCACCAAATGAAGAATTTAGAAATATACTTATTGAATAAAACTCTTACAGATGGAATGCAAATATTGTATATAAGTGAAATTTTTTATTATTTGATTTTTAAGAATAATGTACAATTTTAACAGTGTTCCATTTTAAGACTAACATATAAACAAAGGAGACTGAAATTGTACCCAGCTATTGCTTTTCTTCTCTCTTATAGCTATTATCTTCCTAAAAAATTCACCCAGTGTAACATTGAAGAGTATCATGATTTCCTGAATAGTGGAGGTGGTGCCTGCCTTTTCAACAAACCTTCTAAGGTAATAAGTGTGATCAGAGTTATTAATCTTTCTAAAATATTACAAACACAAATTTTCAGTCATTGTGTCTTATAAAAGAGAGCATTTCAACTTGGCTTATATGTACATATTCTAGATATGCTAAATATCTGCATTTTCAAATCAGCTTTAATCTTGGGCATTTGGGGCTATTCTGATGGAAGTAAAAAGCAGATAGAAATGAGCGTTTGCTTTCTGAAGAATGTCCATTTTCTTTTTATATGGGCAAATGACGGTTCAGGGTTAGCTTACAAAAATGGTTTCATTTTGCCTTTCTTTTTCATTTTCTTAATGTGTTTTTTTTTTCCTTTGGATACCTAATCACAGCTCATACTGATGGAAAGGGGGACATATCTCCCCCTTGTTACTCCATACCTCTGCCTTTCAGAATGAGCAGTGTGATTAAAATTACAAATATTTTTCAATATGAAAACCAAGTCTGCTTAAAGCAGAAAAGGAGAAAGTCTCTCTGTACTTAAACTTTGTCAGAGGGTTTTACAATTTGTGGAGCATCCTCTGGTTACTGACTAGAAAGCAAGTCTTCCTCGTGCACTTGCAAGACTTCGCATGTTAAAGAAGTCTTTGTCCTTGTTAATTATGTGAACTGTGATGTGCTTCGTGCACCACCGCGATACGTGGCCTTGCCTTTGTAATCATGTACCTTGTTTCGTTCTCTGTTCACTCCAGTGGAATTTAGGAAATGCATCATATTGCATTGAAAAGCAAATTGACAATTTTAAGACTTCTTTCCAATAGCTTCAGAAGGGATATTTGAACTTAATCCCTATTGCTATAATTCAAGTTTTTTTTACCAAAATAACATTATTCTAAACTCAGAGTAAAAGAATAAGTGTTTTCATCTGAATAAGTTTTAGTGTTGGCTTTCAAAGCTGTCTTATTTCTTATAATCTCTTTTTCAACTGAAAATGACACCTAGAGATGAGTTGATTCTTTTGTAGGTGAGGAGAAAGTATTTGAAATCAGGTGGGGATTTTTGTTGTTGTTTTGTTGTTGCTTTATTTTGTTTTTTCCCTCTAATTAAGAAAGTGTATTTGTGTGTGTGTGTATGTTGATAGGTGTGTGCTCATTTTCATTCTATAATACGTAAACTTTGATGAACTTCTGAATGAATATTATATATCTCGAACGGAGCAACTGTTTGTTTATTTTTCCTATCACCGTAAAATAAGTTATACTCAAAAGGTAATAAAATTGATGGCGAGTTAAGAAATAAGTGGCTTAAAATGTACTCTTGTACAGGCCAAAATTACTTCCATCTCTGAGGCAAATTGTTATTGTTCTTCTCTGCAAAGCCATGTTAATGGAGGAGCTATGTTTTATGTTAAATAAATCAATGGATTTATTGATTTTTGTGATGTTTTCCTAACTGTCTATGAAATAACTTTCTGTTTCACAAGGAGATACAGTTAGTAAAGGGCTTTTCACAGATGATTGAACTTGATCCTCACAACAATTTCTGATGTAGATGGGCACTAATGTTATTATTATTATTGCTGTTTTAAATATTAAAACCCTGGGGCTCTGAGAAGACAAGCCCAAGATAAGTAGCTGAGCCAAGATTTGAATCCAGACTTCCTGACTCCAAATCCCTTCCTTCCTGTTTGAAATGAAATTTTGGGAGTCAGTTGGTTTTAGTCAATAGCTAGATCATCTTTTATTTTGGTGGCATTTACCAGACTCTACTTGATATGTATGTTATATATGTAAATATGGTTAAAACTGAAATGGAAACAGAGGTAGACACTTCTGTTCTAAAGTCCCCAGTTCTAAAGTTCTAAAGTCATGCTTTCAAGTTTAGGAAGATAAAAATATATTTTGAAGTGATTGACAGGTATGCCAGATGTGTAGGTGTGGAACTTATGGTCTCTCGTAAGGTCTTTGATGTTGACTTTTCTGTATTTTAGTTCCGTTTTTGGTTTTCCTCCCACAGCTTCTCGATCCTCCTGAGTGTGGCAATGGCTTCATTGAAACTGGAGAGGAGTGTGACTGTGGGACTCCAACAGTAAGTCTCTGGGTGTTTTGGTCAGTTTTTTTTTGAGGTTATTCAGGGTCGTTCCAGGTCCACACACTGAGACATACAGAGCAAGTGTTATGTCTGGAAATTTTATAGGATTTGTGGAAGAAAGATTATTACTGTGAGGTAATACCTTATTTTTTTAAATATCCTGGTACTTTCAGGAAAATGACACCATTTTCTGATATTTTGCAAATGTTTATATTCCTTAGGAATGTGCCCTTGAAGGAGCAGAGTGTTGTAAGAAATGTACCTTGACTCAAGACTCTCAATGCAGTGATGGTCTTTGTTGTAAAAAGTGCAAGGTAAATAAATGTTGGATAATGACCAATTGACAAAAGAGGGGACATATTTTATTAAATCGTCAAGGCCAGGTAAATATAATGGAACAATAATAATAGTATCCAATATATACTGTATTAAAGTGACTAAGCGCCAGCCGCTTTTACAGGACCCTCACAAAATCTCGTGAGGTGTGGTTACTATTTTTATTCTCCTCTAACAGATGAGAACATTGAGGCATGTAGTAGTGAAATTCTTTGCCGAGGGTCTTACGCCAAAGAAGTCAGGAAGCTAGGGCCTGAACCTTGGTAATATCTAGAGTTTGTCCTCTCGCTGCTGCCTCCCTGAGGAGCATTAAATGAACCAGGTGTTACTAATCTTTGAATGATGTTTTTCCTTTCTTGGTAAAGCCATGTGGATATTCAATAGATCCCTCTTTTCTTGCTGCTCAGCTTGGTATATCTCTCGATTTAGCTATTGAGGGAGCAAGAGCTATACTTTTAGACATGATAACACCTTACATGTGTTATTGTGCATGAGAGTTTAGAATGCATCTTTACACACATTATCTGTTTTCATCCTCTCAATAGCATCCTCATACCTGTCTCCAAATACTTAAGCCTTTGTATTAAGACTAACAGTTATTTGAGGCTTACCTTTTTCAAAGAAATCTTTCTTTTTTCTCTTCTCATATAAAATCTGCTATAATATTCTACATTATTTCTGAGGTTTAATATCTGTCTCTTTCAGTCTGTACATTTTATGGAGGCAGAGCCAAGGGCTTACAGAGTAATTGGTACAGGTTCTAAGTAAATATTTGTTGAATGAATGAATAAATGTGCACAGCATTCTCTTTCTGATTCTTTGCTGATTGACTAACTTTAGTCTAATGAATTAAGGGAGAGTGGAATGTGAACCTATCATGTTAAGGATCTGCTGTGTGCCAGAGACTGTGCTAGGCTCTTTTAATTTATATCATCTTGTATCTGCGTTTCCCAAAGCTGGCACAATTCAAATTTTTGGCTGGATAATTCTTTGTTGTAAGGGTGTGTTTTGTTTATTGTAGAATATTTAGGAGCATCCATGACTTCTACTTCCAGATGCAAGCACCACCCTTCCTAGTTGTGCCGTCCAAAAATGTCTCCAGACAGTGCCAGATGTCCCCTTGAGGGAAAAATCACTCCTAGTTGAGACCACTGTCAAAGATAATGCTCACAACCACACTTTTGGGGTAGGCGTTATTATCCTGATTTTTCCAATTGAGCAATCCCAGTCTCAAGGAAGCGAAATAACCTGCCAGGCTCATTCAGTAAGGAGTAGATGTGCAGTTACATCCAGATCTGGTGGCAGTAATTTCTGTTGTTTCCACTTTACCACTGTGTCTGTGGCAGCTTTTAAAGATAGGCAAGGCACTGGCAGAGATCTCTGAAAGCACTCTCTAAAAAAGGAAGATTAAACCAGATGTGAAACAGACATTCTTTCATTTTGGCTACCTCACATGTTTATTCTGTTGGCCTCTCCAGCTGCTATAACAAGGGATCCCCAATGGCTTATTTAAATCCTCGATGTTTTAAGTCTGCCCATCCGTAAAATGCATTTAATTATGCCATTTTTTCTTTGATTTAAGAATTAGGTTCTTTGTGATATAATCGTTTCAAGGAACAAGTACAAAATAATAAAATTAAAATACGTACAATAAAATGGCATCATTAGCTGTCCCACAAATAAGTTACTGCTGTACCAGTCTAGTAAGATCTTTTTTGCCACTTTCTCTACCCCACACCTCCCACTCTCACCCCCACCCTGCACCTCTGGAGGAGCCAGAGGCAGGGTAGTGAATGGAGGAGGGGGAATAGAAGAACAAGATGAGAAATCACGTGTATCTCTTCTTTCTCTACATATATTTGTAATAATGTATCTGTCAGTCAGAGTTGGCAAACTTTTTTTGTAAAAAGCTAGATAGTAAATAGTTTAGGCTTTGTGGGTCATAAGGTCTCTGTCTCAGTTACTCAACTTTACCGTTGAAAGCAGCTAGCAAAAATACGGGAACAAATAGGTGTGACTCTGTTCTAATAAAACTTTACTTATAAAAACAGGCGGCCAAACCAAATTTTGCCCTTAAGCCATAATTTGTAGGCTCCTGCTTATTTACTTGTCTGTTATTTTTCTCCTTCCATTAGTATGTAAGTTCCAAGAGGGCAGGGGTTTGAGCTGGTTTATTTACTGCTGTATCCTATCACTTAGAGCAGGTCCTCCTTCCCTGTGCTTTTGTTTCCTGTCATTTCTTGAACATTTACACTCTCACATGAACTCTACCTTAAATCTGCTCGTATTTCTACCTTAGATGTTCTGAAATGGTGGCTTACCCCAATCCCAAGGAGGAAGAGAACCAGAGTATATGAAATTATCTTGTTTATTTCCTTATTTTTATGGCCTACTTACCCCCACTAAAATGTAAGTTCCTTGTGAACAGGATTCTTGTGTTTTATTCTCCGTTGAGTTTCCAGGGGCTAGAAAGTGCCACTTTTTATTCTCCGTTGCGTGCCACTGGCTAGAAAGTACCTGGCACATTTTAATGCCTAGCAAATACTTGATAAATGAACACAAATTTTGTTTGGATCTTCTAAAAATATCTGTGGGATCCTGATTGGAGTTGGTAGTGTACTGTTCATGTTCTAGGAACAACAGGAAACTCAAATACCTGGAGGATTGAGAGCAAAGGAGAGAAGATGAAAGTTGTAGAGGGGGTCTTGAATAATGTGTTCGTTTGTGTGAGCAGAGATAAGAACATAGAAGACCCAGCCCCAAATATTAACATTTTGGAGAGGGAAGGAGAATGGGATTGAAGAGGAGAGGAGCAGAATGATAACTTTATGTATCTGTTTGTGATGTTATAATGAATACTCTTGCAATTTATAGATCCAATGAGCTTAAAAATTTTTTTGTACAACTCCCACACTTAGAAGAAATATTTGAGGTGGTTGAAAACAGACAAAAAAACCCCACAAAACTCCCCTACGCAAGTACAAATAATAGAAACATTAGAAGAGAATAAAAGACCAAGGTATAGATCTATGTAAAAATGAGGCAGGAGAGAAGGGAAAGGAAAGCATGGGAGGAAATAGCTTTGCCGGAAAATCTAACTTTTGCAAGTCAGGCCAAAATGTAACTTTCAAATTCTTGGCAGATAGGGCAAAAAAGAGTAATATGGTAAAGGTGCCAGTAAGAATGAAGGGTAAAGTGTCAATCCAAAAGCTGTTTGGAAGGAAGAATTACTAGAACTTGGACTGACTTGTCCTTCTAGTGGAGATGTACCATCAAGCACTGTCCTATTTTAGCAAGATATTGTAAGGCTTATGTGTGATGGCTATGCGAATTACTTCATACCGGAGAAACTCTCTCTGAGAACTGTTAGATTAATATTTCATTCAATAACTGTGATTTTCACAGACTACCATCTTAAAATAGTTTAAGATAGTCCAATCCAAAAAATATTTATTCTTTTTGCCTTTTTTAAGATGATCCTGTGAGAGTTTTTTTTCTTTGACAGTTTTACACACTGATTTCCATTCATTTTAGTTTCAGCCTTTGGGGACTGTGTGCCGAGAAGCAGTAAATGATTGTGATATTCGTGAAACATGCTCAGGAAATTCAAGCCAGGTAATTTAAGAATACTTATTCTAAACCCAATAGGAAAAAGTAGGAGTATCTTGAGTGCACTGACCCCCCGGTGAAATGGAAGTAGACAAGATGCTCATGTCTCTCTCACATCAACTCTCACTCCCTCTTGATTTATTTTTCAGGAATTTAAGTTTCAGTAATCAAAGTTTGACCAGATGTTCAGCATAATTTCGTCTTAATGTTGAACTAACTTAAGACTACACGCATGCCTTAACTATTTTATTTTTGTTTTAAGTAGAGAGTAGAAGGCATTTGCTTTTTGTCTAGTTAGTGAGTGAGGAAACAAAAAGTCTCTTTCTCTTCAGCTGGTTCAAAGAGGAGTCAGCCAAGGCAGAGAGACCCACAGAGCACTGGGTTCTGAGAAGAGGCCCGTTTCTCTGTCTTGACTCTTGTTTATCTGAGATAGCTGTTTATCTGATATCTTAATAATAAATGGAAAAAATTACAGTTGTGTGATCTTTAAAAAATGTTGTCAAGCTATTAAAAACTCTCTTACTGTTGGTTTTAAATGACTAGGGAAATGAAAAAATAAACTAGTATTTATTTAGCACACCAAATTAAAACAGAAACATTGAGAATTAAAGTGTTTTATTTCTTTGTCAAAAACTTATCAGGAGTAGTTTGAACTGTGCATGCCTTCTTCTTGTCGTAAACCTTGTGATACATAGTGAGCATCTTTTCCATGCATTGTTGAATTGTCATAGTCCTTTCTAAGTGTGGATCAGCTTTCAACATTTTATCCTTTGTGCTTTCAATGTCATGAAATACTTCCAAGACCTGCGAAGATGTGAATGTGAAGTTTTTTGCCGAACAGCAGTATCAACATTCCCATAGTCAGAGATATTTTTCTATAACTCTGTTTACATTTGATTAGAATTTCACTTCCAGTGTCATAATTTTTCATTTCTTTACTGCACTTTCATCTTTGTGGGACAGTTCCCTCTTTTGACTATTCAGTTTTATAAAATGTCACGTGATATCACCCAGAGACAGAGAGGCAGCACTACACACTTTGTTGTCTATGCATGAACTGAATGAACAGATGGGAAGTGACCAGTCACTGATAGGCTTTGAAAAAAGTGACAAGATGGGTCATTGACCATGATGTGTATCTGTTATTTACCTAGTGATCAGCGGACTGACGAGCTAGTAGCAAAGTTTGCGCTTTATGTAATTGCTCACAGTTAATGTACTTCAGTTACTGAAGTTGGAACTGTGTCAATGGGGTACTGGTGTTATTTAACAAAACCGTGGTAACTAAAATTCATGCCTATTGGAGCCACGATAAATGAAGACTGCCTACATTTTTTTTTCTCTAGAGAAGAGGAATTCAATAGTGGTGTACCTACATTAACCATTAAAAATGCTTTACTTAAGGGGCTGGCCCCGTGGCGTAGCGGTTAAGTTTGCGTGCTCCGCGTTGGCAGCCCGGCGTTTGCAGGTTCAGATCCCTGGCACGCACCGATGCACCGCTCGTCAAGCCATGCTGTAGTGGCGTCCCATATAAAGTAGAGGAAGATGGGCACGGATGTTAGCCCAGGGCCAGTCTTCCTCAGCAAAAAGAGGATTGGCATCAGATGTTAGCTCAGGGCTGATCTTCCTCATACACACACACCAAAAAAAGAAAAAAAAAAAGCTTTATTTAAAAGGTAGTCATTCTAAGAGATTAAAGATCTTTCATGTAAAACTATTTTCCTTTCTTACTCTTTAATTAGCATTGTTTATCTCAGCTAACACCTAGTGATGATAAGGATATGGTGAGTGATTACCTCATAGGTTCCTGGAGGGAAAGTATATTAGAGCAACTTTTTTGGACTGTGATTATACGATAAGCAGTAATTTCAAAAGAATCCTAAATCCAAAAATGATGTAGATACAAAAATGCTCTTGTTGCGTTAGTTGTAACAGCATTAATTTGAAATAATTATAAGTGAATATTTTAGTACATTGTTTATATGGTTTATTAGCTCAGTGCAGTGTGTTATAGCTATTGAAGGTGACACCTACAAAAAAGTTTATTAGACATGAGGAAATTCATATGATGAAAGTAAAAGGAAGAAGCAGAATATGAAATATTAGCTATAACTTGGTTATACTTATGTTTAAAAATATCAAAATTTGTAAAAAAAAAAAAAAAAAGGTAGAGAAAAAATGTACCAAAATATAAAAAATGGTTGTCTTTGGGTGGTGGGAATATGAGAGACTTTTGTCTTTCATTTTTTTTTTTTACTTTTTTACATTTTTTAACTTTTCTCAAATAAGTATATAATCGCTATAATGATAGAAAAAATGTATAATAAATTTAAAAATTACTGTCTGTTTATAGCCACATAAGAATGCTTTGCAATTTTCTTCAATTGTTACAAGAAAAAAAAGGGAGAGAGGCTATAAAGCATGTCTTTTTCTAATATGCCCAAAGTAGACTTCTGCTCTAGAGTCATTTGAAGTGTAAGGGCTGTTTTGCTTCTCGTGGTAAAAAAGAGGAAACTATAGTTGTTGCTCCATCTGTATTGGCATCCTCCTTGCTTTTGTTTTGTGCTGTTGTTTTTCTTGCTCTGAGGAGTAGTGTATCTGAATACATTAGCTGAGTTATTACTGTCAGTTCTTTTTATTTGCTACTATGAAATCAACTGTTTCTGCCTCTGGTAGGTCCATATTTTTAGGGGAAAGTGTACCAATTGTTGTATTTCCTTTTGCTTTCTCTTGATCTTTTTTGTTTTTATTTTCATATGGTTTAACAGACTAGCCATATTATCAGGCTTTATTTTTAAAATGAAAACAGTAAAGAGATTAGCTTAGCCTGATATTTTGCTGTGTATTCGGTTCATAGTTCTGTTTTCTTTTCCTAGTGTGCCCCAAATATTCATAAAATGGATGGATATTCATGTGATGGTGTTCAGGTAGGTTACTTCATCTTGACCTAAATTTCTCATGTGTACCAGCATGAAAGGAATACTGAATCTTAACAAAATAGGAAGATCAATTTAAATGTCTCATAATCAATTCTGAAGATAAAAGGCCTTTATGATACCTATCTACTAGTTTTCCCAGTCATATTTACTTTTCCAGTTATCTGACATAAGCAGACATTGCGCTGCTAATAGGTATGCTTTTCTGTTTTAGGGAATTTGCTTTGGAGGAAGATGTAAAACCAGGGATAGACAATGCAAATACATCTGGGGGCAAAGTAAGTAAATAGTGTGGCTTGATCAATTTCAAAGTATGATGTCAGGCTGACTTCTCAAGGACGTGTGGGCTGGAAGTAAATTTTTGTCCACTTTGTGACTGGGGGATTCTCAAAACCACTGCGGGTCTTAGCAGGGGCACTTTTGTGGAAATTAGAGAAAGGCACCTCTTTAGAGAAGACACAGCCCCATACATCTGGGCCCATTGGCAGTGCCTTTAGATAAGACAGAGGTGCCTTTGCTGCCAGGCAGGTGAAGTTCACTCCAGGGCATGTAGCCTGGAGAATAGAGCAAACTTGGATTTTAGCTACTTATACTCTCCTCAGCTAAGTGTCCTTAAGCAAACCTGTACAACCGTATGAGATGGACATGGACTCTGGATAGGGCACCCTTGGCTTAGAACTGTAGCACTTTAGCTAGAGTTGCTTTTTCTTCCTCAACTATCTTAAACTACTAGCTGGCTTTCCAAGTTATAGGTGACCTTCTGCTGAGGTAGCCCTGCTGTATCAGAAAGAAATTTTAATGTTATTTCCTTCAAAGTTTGTCAGATTTTCAGAGGTAAATATATAACATTTATATTTCACCATATTATTTAAAATATATCTCTACTTAAATTTATATTTAAATGTTGAGTAATATATTTTTTCCAGAAGTATTACTGGCCCTTTTGAAAGCAGTTTTTGTTTTAAACTCTTTCAGAAGATAATTTGTGCTAGAAAGCAAGCTATAAAGATAATTATCCTTAATTGTCACAAATAGTGGCTATAGTCCTTTTGGGAGGGGAAGTGTATGCTCTCTTTTGAACAACTAGAGAAACATTGGGATGAGGGAAACATTTTGTCATGCAGGTTTTTACTCTGAACAAAGAGATACAGTTTTTGTTTCTTCCACTTGAGAAAAAAATACTAGCTGACAGCAAGAAGTAGGAAAAGAAACTACTAACATAATTCGTTTTTAAAAAATGTGTATACACCAACATTAATCTTTTGATTAGATTGCAAAAGCCATTTTGGTCTAATTCTTGGATAGCTCTGTAAACCAACCTGCCTTTAGCAAAAATAAAATCCTGACCAAGATGCAGATGTACCTTAAAATGTTATTTGACTCTCAGAGATTTAGCATGAATTCAAGCTTGTCTAAAAGCAGAATAAAATTAAGCTGTTTTTGATAGCTGTTAAGAATTAGTAAACAAGGTAGAAATTGTACCACTGTTTCTTGAATCTTTAATTATAGTGCATAAATATTTTAATAAAATTGTCTTTATGAATAATAAAAGTTGCCAAGTGAGAAATCTGTGCGTTATATTTGGCACTGAGATTAAAGCATGGAGTGTTTATTCAAGGAACCACTTGGTAGCATCTTCCCCTAATTATTGGCCAAATTCTGAGAAATGTTGTTCTTGCAGCCTATAGCCTGAATCTTATCAAAGATCTAAATAGATTCTTTTTTCCAAATTTCAAATGGACAATCATGAAAAATGTACCTGAGTCATGGATGTCAATGGTATAGGAAAACTGTTATGAACCCTGGGTACAGTTTCTGGAATTGAGAACATTTTAGTGAAGAAGAGTCCTTAAATGGCTATTTTCCCTTAACTGCAAACATTTTGAGCAGGTCACATGTTGTATCCCTCACTGATAGAAAACTCTATTCTGCTTCAGAGGTGATGGCATCAGACAAATACTGCTATGAGAAGCTGAATATTGAAGGGACCGAGAAGGGTAATTGTGGTAAAGACAAAGACACGTGGATACAGTGCAACAAACGGTGAGATGGAGATTAGCTCAGAGTTTATCCCTTTGTTAATTACGAGCATTACTTTTTGAGTGACCAGAGTCTTTCCTGTTTCTGCATCCCACAAAGCGTTCTGTTGCCTGTTCACCTCATCTCTTCCCAGCCTTCAAGCATCACCTTTGCATAAGGCTGCCAAATCTTAACACATATGCTTACTTCTCCTAAGACTCAGGAGAAGCCTTCTTGTAGCCTCCTCAGGACTTTCTCACCCAGAAGACACCTACCAGCATCTCGAAAGCAGCAAAAATTAAAGCCACCAGAATATGTACTCAATTAACTGGCTCTGACTTTTCTAAACCACTGTTTTTGCCAAAGGTCTTAAGATCTCACTGTCCTTCTGTTTAGAAGCCTCAGGATGATCCTTGACTCTGCCTTCCCTCTGGCACATTGTCCAAATGCCCATCATGGCCATTCTTCTCTTTTACTCCCCCACCATTTGTCTTTAATTCCTCCCTTTATTTCCATTCCTATCACATTACCCCAACTAAGACCTGCATTAACTCTTCAGCTATTACAAAAGTCTCTTAACCATTTTCTGTGCCAGCAGTCTCTAGTATGCTGCCATCAAAATAATCTTCTACTGAATCCTTTTGACCATGTCAATTCTTTGTTCAGATTTTACTGATTCCACATAGCTAATTAATAGTAAGAATAATACCCAACATTTATTGAGTGCATATTGTATGCTAAGCACTGTATTACACTTTACATAAGCTATGTTGTTTAATGTTTATGGCGGTTCTCCTCATTTTTCGGATGAGGAAACTGAGGCACAGTTAATTAATTTGACCAAGGTCGTGTAGCTAGGATGTAATAGAAGCAGAATTAGTATTCAGGCAGCCTGATTTCAGAACTCTTTCTTAACCACTTTGTTGAATGTCATACTGCATGGTTTAATAAACAAAATGGAGACTTAGTTTGGCACTGTACCTCCTCAACAATTTGCCCCCAGCTTCCATTTTTTGTTTTTTCTTCTTTACTCTTCCAAAGTATAGCAAACCTTGGTATTCCTAATACGTGCATTATATTGTCCTACCTCCATGCCTATGCTTGTGCTACTCCTTCCTCTGGAAGCACTCTTTTTTGTTCTTTTTTTGTGAGGAAGATCAGCCCTGAGCTAACATCTGCCAATCCTCCTCTTTTTGCTGAGGAAGACGGCCCTGGGCTAACGTCTGTGCCCATCTTCCTCCACTTTATATGGGACGCCGCCACAGCATGGCTTGCCAAGCGGTACGTCGCTACACGCCCGGGATCCGAACCGGCGAACCCCGGGCCACCACAGCAGAACCTGTGCACTTAACCACTTGCGCCACCGGGCCAGCCCCTGGAAGCACTCTTTATACCCACTCCATTACTACTCAAAAATATATCCATTCTTCAAAGCCCCTCCTGGATAGTGCTTTCTCTAGACATCCTTTCTGGATTTACTCTAGAAATAAATCATCTCCCTCTTCTCCTCTGAACTCCCACAGCCCTTTATACTATTCTTATGTCCCTTGTCCCCAACTCTGTGTTTTATAGTTGTTTATGTGATTTCTCTTCTCATCCAGAGTATAATTTCCTCAAGGATAAAAATCATGCCTAGTTTTCTTTATATATCCTATAGTACTTAGTAAGCTCCGTATACATAAATGACACTCAAAAAATTGTTGAATGACTATCTCCTCTGTGTTAGGAAAGCATTTTTGTTTATGACAGATACAATAAAATGGTAATATAACTTTAAAAAATTATTTTTTAGGAATGAATTAATACGTATTTTTTCTATGTTGGTAATAGATACAAGTCCTGAGTTTTCTCTTTTATCCATCTGATACATCCTAATATTTCCATGTATAATCTTGCTGGTCTACTGATCAGTCTTCACAAGATATTTATTAGAATATGTGATTATCATTATCTATAGTAATAATTAAAATGTATTAGATATAGAGAATATAGAAGATAGTATTTAATACCAGTGAAAATATTTTAAAAGTTAAATTAGAATTATGTGTCATAGTTGTGGGAGTAGTGAAATATATTGAAGAAGGGATCATGAGCCTATGTGGTTGAGAATCTATGAAATACATGCAATATATAATCTCTTCTTTAATTCTGGGGCAACAGGTTGAACAAAGCTGTATTCCAAAAGAATATTCATCCAAAGGTGATTGATTCACTTGTCAAATATTAAAATTGTTTTTAGCATATCCAGTGATGTGTTATGGGGAAATAGATTCTGATATAAAAGAAGTCTATATGATGAAAACTTTCTTTAGATAAATACTTGAACTAATGGATAGTAAAGGAAAAGCTGGAAAACAATTGGGATTTTGGCACACCAGTGAGTTTCAGAGAAGACATTTTTTAAAGCAGGGGGCAAACTACTTTGGGATTATTTTATTTTGGTTGTAATTTGAGCAAATAATGTAGTTGATGAAAAACAAATGCTAAAGTGAGATAAGATTATCATTCTAACTGTACATGGTTTGCTGTATGGGGAAAGAAGTAGAATAAATAATTGCTGCTCTTTCAACACAGGGATGTGCTTTGTGGTTACCTTCTGTGTACCAATATTGGTAATATTCCAAGGCTTGGAGAACTCGATGGTGAAATCACATCGACTTTAGTTGTGCAGCAGGGAAGAACCTTAAACTGCAGGTAATTATCTAACCATTCTATGAGAACATCTTACTACCCGAGGAATGCAGTTTAGAATTACTTCTGTTTTTTGTTCATGTGCATGTTAGTAAACTGAAATAGAGTCTAGTCCGTAGAGATGATTGAGTAAATCCTGACAGAAAAGAGATGAAAAGAAGATAAGAATTAGTTTAATGTGGTTTCTAGAGTTATGTTTAATTGGTTAGTAAAATCTTGCAGAGTTTAGTTTGCATTTCATTCTAATTAAGGAAAATGAATGAGGAATTTTAGGTAAAATTAGTGGATTAAATAAATGCATCTTCTTTTGTTCCCTTCTGAAATCCCGCTAAAATGACACTAAATGGATCTTTTTTAGCATTCGTATATTCACAGGGAGGCAGAGAAAGGGAGAGGAGACAATAGCAACAAAATTTTGGAATGTGGAAAGCAAATGGATGTCTGTCAAGTGATTATCAAAACTAAGAGAGCTGGATTCCTAAGTCAGTAATGGGGAAAATCGAGAACTAACCCAATATGTACTGTGAGTTCCCCAAAGGCTCAAAAATGGGCAGCAGCATCTACTTCTGGAAAAAAAGAGTAAAGAAATTGGGGGCAGAGGAAGGGGCTAAAATAAAGATTAGTGGAAGTCTGTTAAAGAAGCAGCTATAGCCACAGATTACTTCCCTGACTCAGCTAAACAGGGGATTGCCCCCTCTCCTCTGGAAGATTTGAGCTTTACATTCTGCAAAGAATAAACCAGAAGGTTTCCAAACTGAGGGACAACAGGCAGTGGTGATATCATGGTTGTATGGAAGTGATCCAAACTCATTGATGTTCAGTCAGAAAGCCCTGGAATTTCCAAGCATCTATCTGATCCCTCAACTCAAATATGAGCAGATTATCAGACATGCAAAGAAAGTCTATAACATGGAAAAAAAAAAAAGAGATAAAAACAACCAATGAGAAAAAAAACAACCACCTATGAATATTTATGAGAGATAAGATACCTCTATCATGAAGCAAGAATAGAGTGCTGTTTTAAAAAGTGAAGAACATTGAGATAAGGGAAAAAATGCTGTTGGAAATTAAAAATATGATGGCAGAAATTAAACTCAGTAGTTGAGACTGTCTCCCAGAAATTAGGGCAGAAGAGGCAAAGAAATGGAACATATGGAAAAGCTCATCGAGTTAGAATAGAAATAATAAGGGACAGAGAAAACAGCAGGGAGGAAATAGGCAATGAGTAACTGAAGAGTATTGTGTAGAACGGAAGGACTTGAATTTCCATATTAACTGGCTCACCAAGCGAAATTAGAGGCACATCTAAAGATATCATTATGCAATTTCAGAACCTTAAGACAAAGAAAAGAATCCCAAACATTTCCAGAGAGGAGGGGAAAAAAAAAGAATCAGGCATTAGAATGGCTTAAGATCTATCAGTAGGAGCCCTGGGAGCCAGAAGACAATGGAGTAAGTGTTTTCCAAACTAGAATTCTGTACCCAGGCAAAATATCAATCAAGTGTGAGGGTAGAAAATAAAGATACTGGGCCGGCCCGGTGGCGCAAGCGGTTAAGTGCGTGCACTCCGCTGCGGCGGGCCCGGGGTTCGCTGGTTCGGATCCCGGGCGCGCACCGACACACTGCTTGGCAAGCCATGCTGTGGCGGCATCCCATATAAAGTGGAGGAAAATGGGCACAGACGTTAGCCCAGGGCCAGTCTTCCTCAGAAAAAAAAAGAGGAGGATTGGCAGATGTTAGCACAGGGCTGATCTCCTCACGCAAAAAAAAAAAAAAAAAAGAAAATAAAGATACTTTTAATAGGCTAGTTTCCCCCAAGTTTACTCCCCTATACCCTTTCTCAGCAAGCTCCTGAAAACTGTGCTCCACCAAAATGAAGGCGTAAACTAAGAAAGAGAAAGGCGAGGAATTTAGGAAACAGGATACCCACCGTGAAGGGAGACAAGGCAATCCTGCAATGAATGTTGAGGGGAAATCCAAGATGTACCGCTGTGCACCAGGACCAGGGGATAACCAGATCAGATAGGAGCAGGGGAGACTCTGGATAGACACTCCAGGAGAGATTTCTACAGGAAGATGAACTGATGATATTCAGACACTTCTTGAGTGGAGATTTTGACAGCAGAGTTGGATTAGTTTTGAGTTAGAGATAAATTCTTAGAAAAGTAGGCAAAGAAACAGCAAAGAAACAAGAGATGTGCTAATCTGAGAGAAAATAAAAAATTGTTCAGGAAACGGGTTTAATTATGGCAATACTATATTGCTCAACTGAAGAACATAGTCATTATAATGTGCATATTTGTTATTAATTTAACTTGATTAAACAAAATTTATGATGGGAGGAGAGGGAAAAGAGAAATTCTCACATTTCATGGAGGGAAGTCAATTGATAATACTTAAAATGGAAAAATAAAAAATAATGACACAAGCTCATTATTTAAAGATATGTACATAAATAACAAAAGAATCAATTAAGAATAGAAAATGGTTTCTTCCAGGGAGGGATATATGGAGGAGTAGGGGGCAGCAAGCCACTTTATAGCATTTGAAAAACCAGTTTATCTCTTTGACTCTTTATATGCATGTATAATTTTGATAAAAATAAATAAATAAAAAGGATAGAGATTTTTGTACCAGTATTGACATGACACCATATGAATAAATTGATTATGAATATACATTTTCAGTTCCTATTCTGTTTATTTTTTTATTCCTACATGACATGTAGGCTTGCTATATTGAATAGTGAAGTTACATAGGTTTAGCCAATTCTCAAATATAATTTATAAATATAGCAATTTTTTGGGAAATGTAAACCAAAACCAGTTCTCATCTACATTCAAAACGTTTTAAAATCTTGAAAGCTACTTACTTATGAAATCAAATACTAATCATAATGGCTTACTTGACTTGTACATAAAGGCAAGGCAAAATGATAAAACCATTTCAATTCAGGCCCTTGTTATAATAATTATGTTTAAATCCTAAAATATATCAGTATCTCTGAAAAGAATTAGATCGAAAGATTCTATTGCTTTCTTCATTTAGAGGTTGAAAATGCTTATGCTACTGTTTTTTATTAGATGATTAATAGAAAATAGAGAAATTGATATTGCCCACTTTTTAGTGTTTAAGCATAGTCTCAAGAGGAATGTGAATTAATGGAATCCCATTTTCTTTTTGCTCTCAATTGACTTTTAGTGGTGGGCATGTTAAGCTTGAAGAAGATGTAGATCTTGGCTATGTGGAAGATGGGACACCTTGTGGTCCCCAAATGATGTGCTTAGAACACAGGTGTCTTCCTGTGGCTTCCTTCAACTTTAGTACATGCTTAAGCAATAAAGAAGGCACTGTTTGTTCAGGAAATGGAGTAAGTATTCAGTACCTCCCTGTGGGGGAACTATTCATTTCTTTTATATCACAGAAATAGATATGACCCTAAACTGCATATTCCTGTAATAATGGAAAACATATTTATTTGTGTTTCTAGCTGGTATATAATCAGTTATTTGGGCATAGTCATTTGAATATTTCTGTTGTGTAATCTGCAAAATCCTGGGAATAAGAAAAAATATAATCTTCCTAACCAAATTCTTCTATCTTCCTTTTTTATTGTTATGTTAATGTGATCTCATGTCATATAATGCCAGCTTTCCCCAAGTGATCTGGGAGATAAATTTTAACAAACTATAGTGGGATAAAAAAGAGTAAAAAGCAGGGGCAGTGGCCACAGTATGTAACAACTGGTGTGGTTCAGGCACTGACTGGTTAGAACAGACCGTAAATAACTGCTGTAGCCACACCAGTGGCTACTAGCTGAGGATGACTCCTAGAAATAAAATCAGAATAGTTCAGGGAAATGTTTCTCACAGATGAACAGAAAGAATGGCATTATTTAAAAGACTAAATTCAGTTAGGAATTCCTATACTAACACAAAGTTTTTTGGTTCTTTTTCTTTTGACGTGTGCTGTGATTTTGTTTTTACCCTCATTCCACGTTTTTTGCTTGATTGCATGGCTTGTATTATCTAGTTGAGGTAAAGGATCCCTGTCCTGGAATTGTAAGCCTTCAATCCTGGTCATATGCCAAGAATTTCCTTAGGGAGGTCTTACTAATTGTTACTCTTTGCCAAAGAATAGGAATTCTTATGGCACATGAGAATAGAGAAGGCATATAGTAAGTAGTTCTGCTCCTATAAAGGGATCTGCTAAGTCTTTTTTCCTTAATAATTAAGAGAATGTTAGGGGGAAATGCTTTTTGGGGGCACATGGGAAAGAATAATGAAATTATTTCTTGATCATTCATGCTAATGAATAATCGTATCTTCATCTAGAATCCTGAGTATATGACGCAGAAACCAAACATAGCTTGTTGTGTTAATTAACTATCTGTTTAATGAATGAGTAAAAGAGTGATAGACACAAGTAAATCGGGTGGCAAATAGCACCCAAATTATTTACAATAATTATGCATTAAACAGAGAGGTTATATCCTATGTATTTTTAACTTACAGTAACTCAACTCTGTATATGTGACAAAAATTAAAATGAGAAATGCAGTAGATATCCTCTATATACTATACATTGTGTAGTTAAGAGTGTGAGCTTGGAATCAGACAGTCTGAGTTTGAATCCCAGCTCTGCTTCTTTCACTTTTAACTGGCTGAGATTGGGCAAATTACGTAGCCTCTCTGTGATTCAATTTCTTCCTCTGTAAAATGGGAATAGTAATATTGCCTACTGTATGGGAATGTTGGGAAGAATCAATGAGTTAATACTTGTAACTTATATGTAATATTTAAAACAATGCCTGTGACATAGTGTGTTCAATAAATGTTAGCTATGACTTGATTTATTATGATCACTGGACACTGGTATCACTGTCTGTTCTTGTCACTATATCACTGGTGCTGTTGTATGAGATGGAAACTGATACTTGGAGAAGCCAGTTGAGCTGGTTAAGGTCGGTTGGTAAGACAGTCGTGAACTGGGGACTCAAACCCAGGCCTTTTGACTTTAAGCCTAAACCCTTTTCTTCCAGCTTACTTGTTAATCTGCAGAAATTTGTTAATCTGAATTAATTTGAAATTTGCAATTTGTTAATCATATTTTATAGTTACATTTATATGTGGATGTATGTTGTCTTCTGGCAAACTAGGTCAGACAAAAGACAGAAATCTATCCAGTGAAAACCTGCCTCCTGAAGAACTTCTCTGATCTTAAACCTAAGATTTAAACCTGCATTCTCTCCTACTTCCCACTTTATTCAAAGTTGTTTTGAATTATAAGATCTAGATGTGGATTCTGTTTCCTGGATATATAAATCAAGACAGATTTTTGTCTGATAATTTTTAAAAATTCGGTTCCATTTTTATGTGTTTTTTTCCTGCGCTTTGTTGAGGGAGTTCTCGGTTCCCATGACCCTGAGGGAGCTAATCTCTGTAGCTTGAGTTGAGGTGCCAAGGTTATAGCTTTGTGAAGTTTCCTTCTCAGATCATTGCCGAGCATCAGGCCTCCCGTCATCTTTGTCAGATTTCTTTTTATCTCATCTGCTTCCTAAAAGATGAAAAAAATTTTGGTATAAAGACCCTTTCTTTGGAAGAAAGAAAGCCTTTTATTGGATAATTGGCAAATGATTGTGTTTCTACTTAGTTTTTAAAATCTCCCTCTTATAAAATTTAAGTTAATGAAATTCAAAACAATAATTTTATTGCCTTTTTTTTAGACATGTAAATTTATTCTTCTCTTAAAATTCGTTATTCCCTTTGGGTCAACTGTTGATCTGTAGAAAATATTTTTTAAGTACTTGAGTAAGAAATAAAGTAATATTAGTATTAGGAAGAAAGTACCAATAATTCTTCAGTATCATCAAATTCTAGGCATATAATAATTAGAAATTAATGTTTATTTTTCATGCCTCTGTACCAGGGAGTTGATGTTTACTCTAGATTGACTTTGATTTCAGGTTTGCAGTAATGAGCTGAAGTGTGTGTGTAACAGACACTGGATAGGTGCAGACTGCAGCACGTACTTCCCTCACAATGATGATGCAAAGACTGGTATAACTCTGTCTGGCAATGGTAGGTACTTTATCTGGTACCATTACATAGTCTTTATACACAAGGAAACTGCTCTTCAGACAGTTTCATTTGGATTATTTTTATAACTCGAATATAAATTAAATTCACATAATAATGAGCTACAATATACAACTGGAGTCCACATTATAAAACTGATTGTTTCTATTAAATTGTATTGACATATAATATTGGATATAACTTAGTCTACTGATTTAGCCTTATTTTGTCCTATATCAGACCAAGATTTTTCAAGTATTGTACTTGTTTGGGGCTGACAACAAACCTTAGCATTTCTTTTAAATGAAGAAAGTAGTCATACTTCTTAACTGTCTGAATTTAAAGGGAGAATTTTATATTTTGAGACTGAATAAATGAGAAAAAAAAGGGGAATCGATGTTTAAATACTTTGTTGACTTGAATGTTCGTTATTATAGGATCTCATCTGTATTCAATCCCAGTTCTGTTGCCTGAACTGTAGGTAATTCTAGAAGTAGTAACATTGGCCAAGGTGCCTGGTGGGAGTTTAAGGACATGGATAAGAAACAACAGGTGCAATTCTAAAAGCTAGAGTGGCCCAAATGGAGACGTAGAAATTAAATGCAGATAGTTGAAAGAACACATACCTTGGGGGTAAATGTCCCCTTTTAAACTATTTTATCGTTTCATTCTTGAGTATTGTTTTGTGTGAAATAGTGTTCAAATCCTGAAGTCCATTCCCCTCCAAAGGATGAGAAAAAAGGAGTATGTTTGTTCTAATTATCCAGACAGGTTAAGAATCTTAGCCAATGTGACTTTAATAAAGAAAGTCAGGAAATGATTAATATTTTGGCATCCCCAGTCGTAGAAGTGGTAGTTTGGAGCTAGTTCCAGCAGTTAAGGCAGAGATCAGGCTGTTCAGGTCCATGGATTTAAGTAACTTATCAAAAGTCATGCTATTACTTAGAAATAATCAGGACTAGCATCCAAGTTTATGATCCCTGTTAAATCCCTAGAAGAAAAGGAAGGGAACACAGACATGCTATGTCTTAGAGCAGGAAAATCCCAATGACCCAGGGAGTCCTCTGGCATCTGTATCCACCCATCCCATAGAGGATCTGGGCAGGGTGGAGTCTGCCAGTCTCCTCAGATGCCCTAGCCCTGCCGTCCAACCTAACTCCTGAGGGCTCCCAGACAGAGAGGCTGCCACTTCTCTCATGGGGAATTGGAATCTGCTCCAGTTGCCCATGATTACTGATCTTTGATGTCTAGAAGGATGCCTCAGGAGTGTGGCAGATGAGGAGAGATCTTACCTGCTCTGGGTGAAACAGATCTGAGTGATTTAAATATGTGCTATAAATCATTATCAGCAAAACAGTTCTGGTATCGAGCTAGGCGTCTGCTCTGCCTTTTCTGCTCTCGGGCCTTCACTTGAACTTGTTGACCAAGCCTTCGACTCACTGGGCCACTCTCGCTGCCATGATCCCCTTAAGGATTACATCTCGGCCTGCCTGACAACAGATGCTGACCCAGCAATGCCATTACCGAGTCCTGAGTTTCAGCCCTGCTCTGGCCCTCTGCCAGTCTGGCGCCACCTCTCTCTCATGCCTCATGAGCACTGACCTCCAGCTCCCCAGACTATGTTTTCCTTCTCTAGGATGCCAAGCTGTCACTGCCAAGGCTGGGAAGTACAAGCCCAGTGCTTTTATCATCTGTGCCACCTGAGCACTCATTATATAAATCTGTAGACATGTTTTCTCCCTTTAGAATCTTATATTTACATTGAGACAAAATATCACACACAACCGAGAGCAATAAGGACCTTGCATTAGTTGTCAACGTGGAGTGACATGAACAATAACATTTCTAGAATTTCTGAGGAAGAGGTCACGGTCAAAAGGAACACAGATTTCTAAAAGTTCCTCCCCAAAGGGTGCTGTGCCAATATAGTAGTATCACCCTTCCCTTTTTTTTCTTATCATTACTCTTCTTATTTTAGTTCAATGACCTCATCAAATTTTACAGAAAAATATATGGAAAATACAACTGTGAAAAATGCATTTGGACAAGAATTAAAAGGGAACATACGCAAAGAATTATTTTTAAAAAATGATTGATGTGGATTGCTAAGTTATTGTTGGTTTTTCTTCCCTTTAAAAAATACCCACTTTTTCAAACAAGTAATGTGATTATTATAAATCTGGAGATGAAAGTTTCTGAAAGAATTTTATATCCAAATGTCAATTATATACACTGATCTTCATTGTTTCTTTTCTCCCCCCAGGTGTTGCTGGTACCAATATCATAATAGGCATCATTGCTGGCACCATTTTAGTGCTAGCCCTCCTATTAGGAATAACTGCGTGGGGTTATAAGTAAGTGAAATGTCTCAATATTGTTACTATCCAAATATACTTTAAAACATTTTGTTTAAGTGAATTAAACATTTAGAAAGTTTTGTATCATTGGATAAATACACCTGCAGTGGAAATCAGTCTGGTTCAACATTCAATCTTGATTATTCTTGGCATGACTGGAGGTAACAATAATTTATCATTTTTTTAGATTTTGAGATAACTCCCTTCTATTCTAAAAGTACTGAATATTGTTTTAAAACCATTCTGTGAAGTACAATTGGTCTAAATCGTGTCTTATACAAAGGCTGTGTTGGTTTGCTCTTTACTGACACAGATTCTCTTGACTTAACCACATACCGGGAAGTCTAGGCAAAATGGTCAGTTAGAGAGCATAGTGCTTTTATAACAACGGCAGTAATAACAGTACTGTCAACAAGCACGGCAGGGGCAGATCTGTTACTAAGTGCTTGCAATGGCCGTGCATAGTGCTAAGGGCAAAACCCATTTATCTTCACAACCAGCATGGAGAAGACACTATTATTTGTTAAACATCTGGGTATTTTTGTGTGAAGAAAAGGCTGTTCAGAGATTTTTTTTTGTTAAAATTAAAATTCAACTTTACGTTACAACTTTTAAAAGCCTAATTCTTTTTTAAGCTTCAAAGTTCAATTTACAGTTTTTTGGTTCTATTTATAAATTTTAAAAGTTAACGTTATATAACTTTTGAATATTTGATCCCCTTAAGCATTTAGCTAAGTCATTGACTTCAAACATTTCGAACTTATTTATTTTTTTAATATGTTCAATTTCCTTTTTAAGTGCTTCAATCTTATGATGTGAAAAGTTTCCTTAGTATTCAAATAACTTTTTTAAGTTTAGTAAATTAAAACTTAAACCTGGTGAACCTTAAGTTCTCTTTAATATTTCCACTTAAAAATCATAGTTCTGCTGATCTCTGATGATGGTGTTTCAGGTTCCCAGGCCTAGAGTTTTTCTCCATTCGGAAGGCTTGCAACTTTTGTTAGGCATTCTGGGCATCACCCCATTTTATAGCATTTTTTTCCCCCTCATAGACAAACTTAGTTCACTAAAAAACTTGGGAATTAGATGGGGCCGGCCCGGTGGCGTAGTGGTTAAGTTCCTGCACTCCACTTTGGCGGCCTGGGGTTTGCAGTTTTGGAGCCCAGTGTGGACCTACATACTGCTCGTCAAGCCATGCTGTGGCCGCGTCCCATATACAAAATACAGGAAGATTGACACAGATGTTAGCTCAGGGCCAATCTTCCTCACCAAGAAAAGAAAAAGAAAAACAAAACCAACTTGGGAATTAGAATATTTTAGACTTGAAAATTACCTCAAACCTTTCAGTAGACTAGGCACTATGTGATTGTTTGCTATTATTATTATCACCTGGCATGGTCTTAAACCAAGGAACCAAAGGAATCACCTTTAAAAGTGTATATGGCAGTTGCTTGTTGTGAGGTCAAAACGCTGAAAGAGTTTCTTTGACTGAAAAGACAGAGCAGTTAGTTTACTGCCAGGAGAAACTTTGTATGCTACAAGCATTAAAATAGAGAAAAACATTTGTGGAAGGCTGTATTAACAAATAGCAGAGACAGCATAGTAAAGCTTGGCCTAGCACAATTAATCTGGCATAGCACAGCCTAGCGAAGGAGAGCACAGCAGAGAAGTAATGCTTTGCCCTGATTAAATGAGTCCCTAACTGTACACAGCAGATGCTCCATGCCTACTGGCCTCTTTGGTGTGCAGGTCGTTAGGTATATTGCATACTTATATTTTCACCGGCTGATTTCAGCATAACATTTGGAGTTATAAAATGATATGTCTGAAAGGAAGGTTTTTCTGTATATTTGTCGTTTGACCTCTCCTCACACCTCGGGTGAATGAGCCCCATCTTGGAGTCAACACTATTTCCTCGACCTCCCTGATGCAGGACTGATGTAGTAATTGCCATGACAAGCATTGCTGCTTTGAAGTAGCTCATTGGTTTCATTTGGTCAGGTGAAAACTGAAAGCAAAATCGTTAGTTCTGTAGTGTGTGATTTTCTGCCACCTACTGATGCAAGTTGGTATTTCATTTTTACAATCTTGGAAAAAATTACCTTTCAGAAAGTATGAAACCTAAACATCTCCTCCAATTGATAATGAAATTTCCTGTGTTCATTTGTTTTAATGATTAGAATTAAAACTTTCTGTATATCATTTCTTATTTTTAAATAATTCTTTTGAGGTTTCACTGTTTTTTTTTTTCATTTCTGAATGCATGTACTTTGCAGATTCATTAAGGAAAAGTCAAATCTTGTTCATACTGCAGTATCCTCTTCATAAATAATTTGAACCTAAATGATGAAAATTTTAATGTTACTAAACCTTCAGAATATGTTTAAAAATAGAATGAGAATGTAGAAATTTTAATGCAGGAATTAAATTCATGAATATGATGTTTCACATATTCTATTTGAAATTCAAAAATGGATTTAGGACCTGAGAACTCATTTTCTCATTAATCCTTCCAACTAAACTTTCTACTCCTTCTCCAAGCCTTGGAGTCGGGGAATGGCAGGAATAGGAAATGAGGAATACTCATTTGGAACTGGTGGACTGCTCAGGTAATCAGATTGAGAGAATAAAAAGTAAAACATGTTGAACAGAAATATTCTGGATTTCCCGCCCCCCCGCCCCATCTGTTGGTGTCAGGAATGAAAAATATTAAGTAACAAATTGGCACTTGTACCCTCATGAGCTCATTATTAAATAAGATACTTAAAGGATGCACAGAATAGATTGGCCAGTGAAGGTGCTACAAATGAAATCTTACATGGAAGCATTATCCTTGGTTTTGGAGGAAGGAGCCCACTCCTCAGTTGCTTGACCTTTCTAACATGTCTTCAAAATATTAACGGTTAATTAGGTCACAATAGAAAGTTAAAAATTAACTCTCTTGTGTTAAAAGTTAAAAGTCACTGGACCTCACTGCCACACTCTCTAGACACATTTTTGTTTAAGATCAGTTTATTTGAAAACTCATGTAATTTTATTTTAGTACATGGCCAAATAAAAAACAGACTAAACTTTGAACAATGTTTCCAATGTGAAGTTTCAGTGAGTAAGTAGTAATAACTCAGGAAGTCCATAACAGCCAAGAATTAACTTACTCTAATTTATCCTACATGATGAAATAAAATGTTCTAATGTCCATTTGTGTTCAGCTATTTGAAATTCTTAGGAAGAGCTTTAGTTTGGGGTATGTATTCCAAAAAAAATAAACTATGATTTTTATTTTTCTGAAAACACACTTTATATAAGTAACTTGATTAATTAATTTCACTATTTAAATCAACATACATGTCTGAAAACCTGTATTTGAAATAGGGTTGACTTCAGAACGTTACTAAATGTTTAACATGATATAATTGATATTGAGAAAACAGTTGTTGTTTAATAACTGAAGCTTATTTATGCTTTTAAAAATAGTTATTTGAAAATATTGTCACTACCCCTTTGGTGTCACTTCTCCTAAAGATGAAGTGAAATCTGTGTGTGTGTGACTGTATGTGTCCCCCATTTTAATTCTGCAATTCAGAATCCTCTAGTGGAGACCTCTTAGTGAATGCTAAAGCTTTTATGTTTAGTGCTGTCTCTTAATGCGCTTCCGTAGGTAACTAATTCTTTTTTTTCTCCCCCTCTCTTCTTGTTCATGAAAAGAAACTATCGAGAACAGAGGTATGTGATGAGAATAATCTGAGCACATAACTGAAAGATTTAAATCCTATTAGCATCTTTGGAATTCATACATGCAATTATAGATCAAGTTCACTTTGTTTTTATGCTGTAGTGATCACAAACTAATCTTGATTTTTCATGACCTGAAATGATAACTTTAATGATGGTGCTGTGGAATGTAATAATTTTAAATAGGTCTATCATTATTCAATTTTAATGGTTCTTTCATCCAACAATACTACAATTAATAGAAGTTCTTATTTGTGTTACTTTTATAGTAATATATATGGAAATTTTTTTCTATCTAAAACATACTTCCTGTATATGTTAAGGTGTCACCTTTGTTTACATTAGTTAATTGGCTTTTCTTCATGTTATAACACTCTTTTTACTTAATACTTTCTGAGGGATTTTATTTTTTATTTGTTGCTGTTGTTATATTGGTAACTTCCATCCATAAGTGATAAAATGTATATGGGCACAGTGCTGTGGTCAGGAGAATGTCCTGGCACTCGATGAGCCTGTTTCTCTCTGCATAAGAAAATATTTTTTGTACGGATTAGGTAATTGCACAGGTAGTTAAAGAGATAATTTTCATAGTTGGAATCTCTGATTGTCTAGTGTATTTTTTTTTAAATAAAAAAGCCCATAAAGTCAGGCACCTCGTTCATCATAATCTTAAAATCTGTTTAACCCACAGCATAAAAAGAGATACAAAGCATTAAGGTAGTTCTATAAGAATTGCCTATTTTTCCTAAATCTAAATTAGCCCATATTGGTGTACAGCCTTCACTTTTCACATTTAAAAAATTACTAATGCTATTAGCTATTGAAACAAAAAATTGAAAATATCCTGGAAAATTGATAACCCAGACCAGGTCTTGTACATCATATAGTACTAGTTTTATACTCAAGATATCTATGCAAATTCCTCCTTACTTAACTTTTCCCACCGTTCCATTAAATGCCGTGGTAGATTAGGGATAAGATGTAATAAACTTGATGATACTTTTTCAGGCCCCTACCACAGCTTTTATGTTTTCACAAATTAGAATTTTAAACTTTACTCTTCTGTTTTCTTCTGTGTTGTAATTTAAAATTTTTGTGAGGCTTTGGCCATAAGTGTCTACAGAGTCTCTATAAATAAATGGTGCCCATGTGGTACCAATTGAGATCCTGGTCGGTTAGCATAGATATTAGGAAATATTGACCTTGCCCTGGAGTAACTAACTCATCATTAATGGAAAATGTAAAACCGAGACAAAATTAATCAAATTTTAAAAACAACTAGATTTCTTTGTGACATGTTTTAAACTCTTGTGTCCAAAAACACTGGAGAAGAGCTGGAGCCATTTAAGCTTTCTGGTGGGTAGAAGTTGATCAGAAATCTAAGTTTGGTGGCTTACTTCAGTGAAAAATAAAATTAGGCTAATAAGATCAAAAATTGATGATTCAGCTCCATTTCCGTAGGAGCTAAGGCTATAATGTAATTTAATATTGCTGACTGTATAAAAAGGAAAGTAAAATGTTGTAAATATGTAACATAAGTAAAGCTAAAACAGTACTCTAAGATGTATTCTCATCAGGGATACTACCCAGAATAAAGGAATTGCCCACACTACAAAAAAATGATTAATATGTAAAATTCTGCACTAATTTCTTATTCTAACTCAATATATGCATAGGTACAGTTAAGAAAATTTTTACATTAAGAATCTCCTTTATGTGCCTGATATAATAATTTCATGCCTCCTGGTGTTACTGAGTCATCATTTCATCAACCTGGCTACTCTTTTGGAATCTAGTTCATATTTTGAGAGTTGTCACATCTTCAGCAGGTATTTATTTTATATATTTTGGTATATTTCAACACAATATTTGTTTTTGGCCTTGTCCATGAGGCATCTTAGGTTTGTACAATAATTCTCAAAATGGAGAAGTAGCAAAGAACGGACTTAAGGTCAGGAAGTCGTGAATGTATAAGTATCTTCTGAAGGATTTTCCTTTTTGAGAATATATCTTAGTGGTTATAGAGAAGGTGGTAAGGCCAACAGACCAAAGCATGCATTAAGAAATTTCAATCTTGTAAAAATATCTACAGATCTTCAAATAAAGATGTGCCTAGTTCCAAAGGATGCTAGGAAATAGAATTAAGAATTTTGAGTTGTCCTTGCCTTTAAATTAGGTTTTCCTTTGAGGTTCCCTGGTGGGAGGACCAAATGACATGGAATCAGAAATCCACTTACTAGTATGTGGTCTTGGGAAATCATTTAAATTTTCTTCCACTCAAAATTGGATAAAGTTCTTTGTAAAGCATTATAGTAAGAGAAGTTATTAGTAAGTAGTCTCTGAAAACTTTGTGTTTCTCTGATCTTCAAATGGAAGAGGTGAGTGTGGTTGTTCTCGAAGAGGAAGGCAGCATTCATCGACACGAGTGAGGCCCACACGTACTGGCTGAGCTGGTGAAAGCACTATTGATGAACATAGTTTTGCTTTGACACTAAATACAAGACCACGTTAGACATGTAGCCAGTTATCAGATTCTTATTAATGGTGTAATGGCTCAGAAATTCCAAATGGGGCATAACTTTCAAATTATTGGAGAGGTCAGACAAGTAATTCTGGAAGGAACCTCATAACCTGGTAAATTTTCCCTCCAGAGAATGTGTCCTCAAGGTTTTCATTATATCAAAGGAACGTCTGATAGGTTTAAGTGCAAGTCTGACAAAAAGATGAGAAGCAAACCCATTTTTTTCTTTTTGTTTACAAACTGCTTAATAAAAAACAGAAGCCCCATTCTGGGGCGCAGTGGAGACAGAACCCCATACATGAATGATATCACTTTAAATCTTTCGATAGCATCTTGTGAAGGGTGGAACCATGGAATCTAGGAGCCATGGAGAATTCTTATACACCATGTAGTTAGAAGAATGGCTATTGACCCTTTTCTTTAAAATCTTCAGCAAAGAAGGCCTCCATAATTTTTTCAGTTGATGCTATTGTTTATATTTTAGCATAATTGCTTTAGGATTTAGCAGATGTGTACTTTGTAACAAGAATTATAAGTTTGAGTTTTAATTTTCAGGCAGGTTTGCAAATAGCAATAGAATAAGAAAACATTAATTGAACTTGGATTTATAAAACACTCTTAGCTGAAATATTCTCTTCCTTTGTCTAAAACGAACACACATCATTATGATTAATGTGAAATAGAATAAATAATTAGATCATTTCTTCCTGGTCCATACCTTAAGCAGAAACCCCTTTCCCCATTTCTTTTCTCTCTCACCTGTTAAGCACTTTATTTTCTACTTGTGAACCTCCCTCCTTTTTTTTTCAAACCTTTCTTAGTTTGTTTTTATATTATTATTATTTCAGTGATATTCATGCATCTGTCAGTGTGACTTGGTACACATTACACAATATTTCTTAAAGCAGTAAAGTAACAATTCCAGTAACAGACAGCCCAGACACCAAGAAAGCATTGGAAAAATGCCTCCTTCAGCATTAAGGTTGTCTTAAATTTTTTCCATTTTAGTCTCATCTTGAGCATGCATAAGGAGTATTAAGTTAAATATGACTCATTGGACCCTTTTAGAAAACATCAGACTTCCCTCATAACAGGGATACTTTTGGAGGAAAAAGAATTTAGTTAAATAAGCTTTTATTTTCTTTTGGTCATTATTTATAAAAAAAATTCATGCACATGTCTAAAATATTTGTATGCAATGTGGGAAATATGAGGTAATTTTCCTATTATAAAACTTAGCACTGGTCAGACCACCTAATGTAGTAGTCACTTCTAGATTTCAAAATTCTATGAAACCAGCAAAATTTAGGAAAAAAGCCATAAAGACTAGAAAAATTAATTCAATATAAAAAAAATTTAAAGAGATCATTTAGGTGGTCATTTATGATCTTTTATAACAAATGATGAAATGTTATTTTGTTGATCATGGGGACCTGATATTCTCTATCTTCACTAAAGGTTAAACAAGAAGAAATAAGTTTGTTATAATATGTAATAGATGTTGAAAAAAGGATAAATTTCTGGACAGTGAAGCATGTTATTGTTAAGAGATTTTTAACAAAATTCATAATCTATCATTGACATTTTATTGCATTTACTATGTGAAGAAAGTTACTTGCATTCCTTGTGGAATTTGAAGGAGAATGCAGAGTAGTTTCTGTATTTTTAAGACTTCACAATAGAGAGAGATACAAATCTAATCCGCCCAGGATGATAAAAAAGAAGGCCCAGTCCCAGAAATTCATTGAATTTAAATTCCCTTCCAGCCCTTTGACTGAAGCCCACAGTTTATGATATGTTTAGCATTTAGGGTATTTGTGCACTATGTAAAAGATGACATAGACTGCAGAGAAATTACATTGAAGGATAAGTAAAATGTGCTCAGTTAAAAAACAAAACAAAACACTGTGCCCCATCCATTGAGAGAGGCAGTCCATTTAAGCCTGCAGTATCAGCTAAGTGAGCCCTTGGTGAATGCGTGAATGCCAGAACCATGTAGAGAGAAGGTAATTTGGGGACTAGATTAATGGGAAATTCAAGTGTCATTGGAACTTGTCTTTATTTAATTTGAATTTAGTGAAGCACATCTCATCAGCCTATAAAGATTGTCATTAAAGGTAACAGTGACAAAAATGATTTGTTAACCATAAATATTACTATTGGAAATGTTGTGTTGATGGGATATTCTCTTGAATTCTTTAGTAAATATTAATATGATACAAAAGGGAAGTGTTTTCCCTGAGGCAATATACAGAACTCTGATTTTACTAAGAGCTTTTTTTTCAAGCATTGGTAGAATATTTTACTGATAAGAGGCAAGACGGAAAATATGATTCTACAGATTAAATATCTCTTGTATAAGAAGATATATCATTTTTCCTGTGTTATTAACACTATAAATATGGGGAAATTGCATTATTTTTCCTATAAAATTAATGTTTCATAATGCACTGGGAAAAAGAAAGAAAGATTACAATTATGAGCTGAAGTCACTTAAAGGATTAAAAATATTTTGAAGGAATATTTATCAAAGAATTATAGGTAAAAGTAGTCTTACATGTAAATCTAATGAGAAATTTGACTTTCTTAAGGGGGAAGATTAGATTTAATCATGTAAATTAATACATGTGCTTTATATCAGTTGACAAATATATAGATTTGTAGATGTGGGAATATATAGGATTGAAATAATATGAGAGGGTATTCGGTCATTCAAAAGAATGAATGACCAAATATTTTAAACATTTAAAACAGTATGGTAATTGGTATAAGCAAGCAAACATCTGAAAGTGGCATTTTTTTTGCATAGAATTTAGCATCAGCAAGTAACCATGACTAGCATGGTAACTAAGGGAAAACCAAATAGGAAAAGGAGTTAGCAAATGTGTACCTTTGTTGGAGGCCTAAGTACAGCTCTGTTTAAGTACAGCTCTGTTTAAAATTCTCAGTCCAACACTAGAGTGTGTCACCTCCAACAACAGTAATGCAGTGAGGCTGGATGCAGTTGGCAGTTTGGGGGCCATGCATTGGCAAAACGATCAGATTAGCTACAGAGGGAAGGGGATTGAGTAGGCGGTCCTATCTAAAGTTTTCTATCCTATTCCTTTAGGAGAAGTAATAAAAATCTGTTCCAATCTTAATTAATTCAAAATCAGAGCAAGTGGGGTCAGTAACAGTGCAGATTAAATAGATTTTCCCTTGTTCACTCCTTCTACAGTGGAGATAGAGAACCGAGGTCACCCTCCAGCTACCTATAAATATCCTTCTATGGTCTCAGCAAGAATTCAGTTTTCAACCCTTTCTTCCTCTTGCTAAATTATCTTTCTTTACATATTCTACTGTGCAGTTCTAGAATTACATTCTTGATTGACCTTTGAATCTCTTTCAATTTCTTCATATTTCTGTTAAATGAACAAGGAAGCTCCAAATTGAACAGAGAACTGTAGTAAGAATTTATTTGGATTAAATTATAGAACATAGCTTAGAAATCAATCAGTTCTTTTAGGACTAAATCAAAGTTACATTATATAATCTTTAGAAATCATAAATAGTTTACTCACCACAGTGAAAAAAAAACTGCCTTATCAGGGCAAAGACTGCTTGTTCCAACACATCTCCTTTGGCACCAATTTTTTTTTTTAAAGACAGAACTGTAATTAACATCTTCAAGTATAATGAAGTTATAATGAAAAACCTCATCTTTCCATAATTTTCCCCTGAAGCAAGACTTTCTTCATCCAGACTGTAAAGACTTCAGTGATTGCATTTCTGATCTCTACAGTTAGAATGACTTTAACTTGTCACATTTATTAATAATCTTACGTGTTGTTATAGGTTTGATTCATGTAGATCATTATCCCTACCCCTTTTTTCCTAAAATAATATTTGTATATGTCTGTGTTCATGTGTGTGTCTTGTTTTCTGACTCTGAAATGTTTATTATGCCTTAGACAGTTACCCCAGGGAGATTATGTAAAAAAGCCTGGAGATGGCGACTCTTTTTATAGCGACATTCCTCCTGGAGTCAGCACAAACTCAGCATCTAGTTCTAAGAAGAGGTCTGCTTTTCTGTCGCATTTTCAGATTTCTACCTGTTCCATCACACATTATTCCATTAGTCAGAACATTTCATTATTTTGCAGCAGGTTTGATTACTTCTTCCTTCTTTCTTGAATGTTAAAAAAATAGTATCCTTTGTTCTTTGATTACTCTACTTCAAAATGCCATATGCTCAGAACCACTTGTGTAACAAATCAGGCCCGAAATCCAAACAAAACAAAACTGAGCAAATAACAACTCTAAATCTATATAGAAACCCCAGGGTTTTTCCGTCTAGCTCTTATATGGCTTAAGAAACTATACATAGTATTTTATCATATTTTAAATGGTGAGCTTTATGTCATGTTTGGTAGTCAAAGAAAAAGGTTACTGTCATGCTTCAATAAAAGCAGTTTTTAAAATACATTGGTAATATAAATGCTGCATTGAATATTTTTTAATTTTAAATATATCAAAGCTAAGCTTGCTGTGAAAAAAAGATCGCTTCTCTGTGAATCATGTATTTGAATATTATGATTTTGCCTTTTATTCCTGGAATGATTATTTCTAGACTTTATAACTTAGAGCTTGGTTGCCAAATCTAAGTATATTTAATGTTTGCCTGAGTTTTATAATAGTATAGGTGGGGTTAATATATTATTTATATGTCTTAAACTTTGATGTTATATTCTTTCTCCAGGATCTTAAGGTGTATAAGACCATTTAAAATTCTGCATGCTTTATAAGTGCTTAATAAAATAAACTGGTAGAAGAAATAAATAGTTGGAATGTTTTAGGAAATGAGACCTACATTCACACTGAAGGAAGTTAAAATATTCCTGTGGAAGAGTTTCTTTAAAATTGTTGGTAGGGGTGTAATGTAAAGAAAAAAAGATTTGATAGCCCCATGCATTACTTTGGGCACAGTGATTACTTTGTACACTGAAGGGGAATTGCTAGTTTATTGAGAAGAAATTTGATCTCTTCTGGGGTTCTAAATAGAGTGAATCATCTGTAAAAATTCTGCCATGGATCTCGCTATAAACAATCAGGAAGGAGAATAGAAGGAATTAGTGAAATCTGGGAACTCTACTTTATGTGGAACTTAAGCATAAAGGATTGTATTTACTTGGATAACATAGCTTAAAGCAAAAGTAAAAATATTAGTTTTTGTAAGAGGACTACAATTCTATAGAAGGACGTTAAAAAAATTTTAATTTATTGGGGGCTTTTTAGTTAAGAGAATAAGATTTACTTAAATTCTGTTAGTATATAAATATTTTCTTGGTCAAATACTTAATTTTAAATTAAATAACATGGTAAATAAGTGGCGCAATCAATGAATTCCAGAAGAATTTCTTTTGTCCTTTTGTACAAAATAGGAGTCATTCTATAGTTAGCAAATGATGTTGAAAAAGTCCTAATCTAGGGAATTAGTATATAATAATTTATTTTTATTCATCAGTAGAAGGTTTCTTTTAAAGTAGACATTACTGGCAATTAGCTAGCTGGAAGGAAATGTAGAAAAGACTTCAAGTATAGTGCTATTTTCTAAAGTACCTCAAGAAGAACTTAAAATATTGATTTGAATAATTCCCAGATTTTAGCAAAATCTCCATGGGTTATGACTTTTAAGCAGTTAAAAATTGTATCAAATTATGTGACTCCTCCTAAGTATATGTAGTTTGTCAAAATACTTATGTAGTACACGGTAGGTATGTAAAGTTTGCTTATTGTAGGCAATTATTTTAAAGATGGCAGGACACAATAGCAGCAGGGCTTAATGGTACATGGACTTTGTGAGAGACATTTCCATGATAAACATCTGATTCAGCTCAGTTATTGGACAATTAACTAACAGTACTACATTTTGGGGGGGGCATATTTGTGGAGAAAATGCCAATTCTCAGAAAATAATTTTATTGTTTAAGAAAACCTAAATATTACCTGGATAAAGGTTAACCAGGTTCAGTTGAACAAATCTTAGTGAAATCTCTTGGAAGTCCATGTTCTCATAATATTTGAGTGGAAACCATTGCTTTACAATTAAGAAACATCTATGGTGGGACCCCATTATAACTGCTGCTCGGGTTATGTAACCGAAATATGTAGTGAATTTGCTATATGTGGTTGCTGTGTTCTGGGGAAAGTAATTGGCTTGCATTGTATCCTGATACTTTTCAATTGTAAACTATTGTAATGGGGTTCCATTGTATTTGACTTTTCTTAAATTGAATGTTGTGTAATTCTGCCTTCTTCATGAAGACTTTCATGTTCTCTTCATTCTTTCATTTCAGATTTGTTTCTTTCTTGATTTATTTTATTTAATGCACAATAATGCTTAGAAATATTGCTTACTGATTTCAAAACATTCACTTGATTATATTTTGGAACAACATATACACATTTTCAATTGCAGGTCAAATGGACTTTCTCATTCTTGGAGTGAAAGGATTCCAGACACAAAACATATTTCAGACATCTGCGAAAATGGGCGACCTCGAAGTAACTCTTGGCAAGGTATAGGGCGGCATTCTGAATCCATCTGTCCACATAACCCAAATTCTATATTTTGTGGTCCCTGGTTGTAAAGACTTGTTCTTTCCTGTAAGCTCCTTAGCTCTTCTCCCAACAGAGAGGAGTGCCTTTATTTTGAGTCCAGTTCTTTTTTCTTGGATGGGAAATGCTGGGATTCCATAGCACCGGTGCACTAGACACGTTGAGAAGTCTGCACACTGCTGTAAAGCCCTGTGTTTTGGGATGGTGCTGGTTGTGAATTACACCCACTTGAAATACAATGTAATTAAACATACGAGGAGTGTTTATTTATATTCAAATCTAGCTGTAAACCATCTTTTTCAGGTAACCTGGGAGGCAACAGAAAGAAAATCAGAGGCAAAAGATTTAGACCTCGGTCTAATTCAACCGAGTAAGTCTGAACCTCTAATGGAAAAAGGCATTCCAAGGTCCTGTGCAATTAGTGTGAGCTTTAATTAACCAGATCATCAAAGAACTGTAAATCATGCCTCTGGTCTTGGTTTTGTCTTTTTAATTCTTTTTTTGCCATTTTAAAATTAACCCTGGCTTTTCTCTTTTACATAGGCATCTCCGCAACTGTGCCCATACCAATATTCACTGATAGTGGGGGTCTCACCCTCGCTGCAGGCTTGTCCTCCAGTAACCTGCCATTGTGGTGTCTTGGTTCCGTTTGAAGGGAATTTTGATAACATTCCTTTCTTCTCATCACCTGGGGTCCAGCCATTTCAGAGGGATCACCCTTCCTCTCCCCTATATTCACACAGCCTCAAAACATCAGGGAAAAATTCCCACAGGACTAGAGCATGATACTGCTCAGAGTGTGAAACTACTGCTCCGAGGGCTTCACGGCTGCAATCTAAGCATTCTCTCAGACTAATGGATAAGTTTCCCTTTTAAATTTTCCTTCTGAGGACTTTTAAAAGGGCATTTACCTAAATTTGCTCTTTAACGGAATCATTGTCACTAAATGCAACACTATCCATTTTAAGTGATAGCCACACATTTTTTTTTTAGTGGGGATGGGGTTGGAAGTTACATTTAAAGTCATTTATAATGAGGTAAACACCATGCACTTTTTTTTGTTTGTTTCTCCACTTAAGAAAGTACAAGCAAAACCAAGCTTCCTCAAACCTTTCTCTCCCATCATGGAATAAGACACACCCTTGGTATCCTTCTGGACCTTGCCACCTGGTTTTAATTAACTGTACTTTTTTGACACACCTAAAATTTTTTTACTTATTTTTCACTGCAGTGCTGGTTATTATTCCCAGGATCTCTATTTCTTCTTCATGCCTTAATACTTAAAAACTCTGAATAGCAGGTATTTGTTAACTGCTTGTCAGAAACTTATGTTAGCTTTTCCATCGTATACCCTGCCTTTTTCAGTCCAGGACAATAACATTGCCCTGAAATTTGGACCTTCCTGCTGATGGTATTGTAAGTGGCTTGTCAAAGTTTTTACTAGAGGATACTTTACCTTAGAAACAATAGAGAGGTTCAAGTGATAACATTGCATGGTCCAGAATGGCATCCTCGAACTCCATCATAGATAACTAATCTGTTAGAGTTTATCTTATACATTCCCAAAGCGCTTAGATGCTTTAGGGTTCATTGTGGATAAACTCTTCTTGGAATGTTGTTTGATTTGTTTTGCATGAGGTCACCTGGTAACAGCTCCTTAGCTTATCTTGGTTGCTAATAAGAGTGCAGATACAACTGCAAAATGCTCTTTAGAACTTCCTTTATGTACTGCTCAGTGTTCTGACAGTATTTCCTATAACAAGGCTTTGAAAATTCAGAAGTGAAGAAAAAAAATCCAACATTATATTAAAGCTATGAGTTTAGGACCTAAAGAATACGTGGTATTTAGCAAGATTTATATAATATTTTCTAGAGCAATTGCTTATTTTTTAGAAATTTTCTGTAAAATTCCCACTCATATCATGTGATAAATATGATGATACTACACATAGCCTTTAAGAAATGTTGCCTGTGAGCCAAGTTATAATATTTAATAAGACATCATAATGGAATCATCTTTGTGAAGAAGTATTAAGGACTCCCTCGGACTTTTCAGATTAGGGTTACATGACTCATGTTGCCTGAATGGAGCCAAGTCTGTGAAGCTGACCATTATTCTCATGTTCTCACATACCTTATTGTACGGGCAATATATATATAAATGTATATATATTTTATATATATGTTTTCTTCCTTAAAAGGATCCTAATACATAGTATATAAGAAATTATATTGACAGGTTTTTTTTTAGTACTTCTAATATTCGTTAAATAATCCCATTTGCTTCTGATATAACAATATCATTTGTGTGACTATAAGAGGAGTAGAATGACCATGGACAAACCTATCTTTTTAATTTTTTTAGATTAAGAGGTATCATCAGGTCCGTTATTTCAGCATTCCCTTTAGTATCTTATCATCCCAAAGGATGATGAAACATCAGGACATGAATTAAAACATGTACCACCGATAAGTACTGTGCTAATTAACAACATAAAATGTCCTTGTTCGTTGTGTTGTTTTTCCACTCAAAGCTTTTGCATCTTCCTCACTGTTGTACATGATGTAAAGAAAGTTTTTGGCTTAGACTCTGTATTATATATTGTGTTTTTACAGGAGGGAGCCCCAAGCACCTGAGCCTGGGCACTCCCTCGCCCAGACAGTCCCATCCCAAGGCATAAGCCCAGGGGGCTCTGACAGCCCCCAGACAGGGAGTCTGGATCACAGGTCAGTCTCCACCTGCCCCTTCATTCTGGGCTGCCACTTAATCTCCCTCCAAGTCCCTTCCTTGGCTGAGAACAGGGTCATTTGGTCTCTGACTGACCCCTAACGTCTGCTCAGAGGTGGTCCTGGTCCAGCCAGCACCAGCTAATTTTCCTCTGCCTTTCCATCCTGGAGAACACAAAGAGCTCTCCTATCCTGTCTAATGCATTTTTTTTGCATGTTGCGCTATGAGCCAAGTCAAGCCATCTAGGCAGGTGTAGAGCAGTTTGATAAAATCCCATCACTCCAGCCACCGTGACCTAGAGACGTTAGGAAGTCCACTGTGAAGACTTTCACGGGCAGGTCCCCAGAAGAAACAACAATGGAGAGCTCTCTTCAGTGACCTCTAGTGAAGTGATCACAGCCTTCTGAGATGCTCCCTGAGATGGAGGAAAAGGTCCATCATGTGCAAGTCAAGCCATGTGGCTGCAGGTTTCATGGAACAGCCATGGCATCAGTATGTTGAGCTTCTAAGATTGTCAGTGAAAGGCACACGTGCCTCCTCCTGGAAGTGGCCGACTGCCTGTGGGTGACTCAGTTTGCTGTGTGGCTATGTTTCACCTGATGACAGCTGCATGGGCTTTTTCTACAGTTTTCCCCAGGCCAGAGCATTCACTAGCCTTCATCTGTGGCTGCACTTGCTTTTTGACTTTTTCTTTTTGTTGAGAGTCTCAGTGGATATCTTTATGCGAGTTTTAATTGGCTATCTCTGTGAAAAGCACAAGTTGGCAATGATTGTGGCTAAAGGCAAAACTAGTGTGAGTTGTTCCTGAGTCAGGGGACACCACCTTAGCAAAAATGGTCTTATAAGCATAAAAAGCAACCAAATCCTTCTCTTGAGAGGGAACTTCATGATGTTATTTTGTGGTATACATTGGTCATAGCTAAAAATGAGAAAAAGGGCTATGGAAAAAAATAATATGATTTTGTTTATATAACTGTGGAAATGTAGTCTTGATTTAAATGTATTTACAAACTAAAACTAAATGTGGAGGAAAGAAGCAAACTTTAACCACAAACGAATATTGTATTTTATAATTTCCTCTGGTTTGTTTTCAAATAACTTCAAAAGTTTTATAGAGCTTGGATCTTCATTGTCTACAGTATCTCTAGAAGTTACTTTTTAAGTGAGAAAACTCAGTAAAACCTCCCAATTCTTCCAAGACTGAATTTGTTGAATCTGTATTTATTTTACAAGGGCAAATTCTAAGGAGATGGATTTTTGCTTGGCTCCCAGGGTAAAAAAATCAAAGGAAACTCTGTTGCACTCTCAATTTTACTACCTTTTAAATTTTCCTTTGTGCAGTAATTCTGATGAGGACTTTGCCAGATCCATCAGGGAAATGCTGACAAAGGTCATTATTGTCCTCTGGCAGTCACTCACACGATTCAGGATCAGACACTCGGAAGGCGACTTCTGAGGGCTGTTTCCTAATGGAAACACGAACACTTTAGTCTGGAGTGCACTAAGAGGAGGAAGGAATATTACAGCTGCACCTAAATTACTAAACCTGGCTTCAAGACCGTGAGGCCTATTTGGATCACACTTATTGTGCATTGGGGCTCCAGGATCAGAAGACTGGGACCTTTTCTGCTCCTTATAGAGCCAGCTGGAGCACCTTTCTTGTTAATTCCAGCTTGGGATCTGCTATTGGGAGTAAGACAGAGGCCATGTAAAGTCTTTCCTTTCTTATTGGAAAGAGAACTTTCCTCCTTTTAATTGTTCTTAGGGTGTTATATGCCCAAACACCAGGTTGGAGTTGCAGCCATCTGAATATTCTCAAAAAGCACCATTATCATTTGAAAACCAAGGAGCCAAATGAGAGGTGGCCTGGAAAAAGCCACTTTGGAGGTGGGTGAATGGGACTGCTGACAGTATTATGATTGAAAGAGAGCTCCTAATTCACTTTGGGAAACCACTGGAAAGGCTTTCCCTGAAATGTTGAATATTTTCTAGAATGCCTTGAGCCTTGTTGTAGCTGAGTTTATTCTCATGTCATTGTACAGACTACCTCATAATCACCCAACATCCATCCTGGTTTATTTGCCATAGTCACTTGCATTTGGAGGGTGAAGAACATCCTTGCTAAGCTTGTGCTATGTATTTTCAGATTTTCTATCTTGTTCTGCTTTCTTTGTTCCTTCCATTGCTTTCTGCAGGTATTTAAACCCATGGTTCAAAAGAGACTATAATGTAGCTAAGTGGGTAGAAGATGTGAATAAAAACACTGAAGGACCATACTTTAGGTATTTTATAAATTAATTTTATATCCTTTTCAAACTCTCCCAGCACATACAAATACTGTAGTGTGACTGGCTCTCTATCTTGTATCTCCCAATACAAGTTCCCATAGGTGGAAAAGGGTTCTTGTTTATTTGCTGCCTTTTTATCCCTGTTTTTGCCTTTGAGAGCAAGTCTAGTTCTTTTCTGAATGTTTCAAATGAAGCCATTTGAAAGGGTTGTCATTTAGTGCATGTCCCTATCACCATCTTGAGCTTTTTAGTAGCTTCTCTTCATTTTATGCTGTGTAGTGTTCCATGGGCATGAAACATACTTTCCACTAATAAAGAAGCACTATTAACCTGAATAATTTAATTTCTAGAATTTAGCAGTGTCATAGTGCATTTTTCCTGCTTACTGCCTTAAGAGTACATCGTGCGTACGAAAACTCAAGGAAAAACATGAAAAGAAACTAAGTGAAATGCAGCAGAAGTTACTTCTAGTAAAAACAATGATTTGATGTAACTTGAAAATTATTGAGAGATTACTGACCACTTGAGAGTGTATGGAATGAGTTTAGGTTTTCTTTGCTCAGTACAACCATGTGCTACCAGCGAAGGGCTGTGCGGAAGTGTTTTATGGGCACTCAACAAAGCATCTGAAGAATTTTTTTATCCCAGTAAGAATGTCATTGTCAAACACTTTAAATAGAACAGGAAGCAGATCAGAAACATGTTCTTGGTGCACAAAAGAGCAGAGTATCCCTACATTTTAGAAACTAGCAAATGTACTCAAGTCACTGCAGCTCAGCTTAATGTTAGAAGTCAGAGAGAATTTCCAAGAGCTCTTAATGGCATTTTTTCACTCATTATAATATCAAAATGATTTCCTAGAAGTTCATGCCTCCTTTATATCTGACTGCTTTGTGGACAACTAATGTAAAGAAGAAGTATAGGCTCAATTACTACCTCTCCTGAACATAACTTAACAGTAAGCTTTTAGATTACTCATTACCATGACTTGGGTCAGCATTTAACAGCTATTAAAATATGTTTGTGTATTTAACTCTCAGCACCCATATAAGGTGGACTTTCTCTTCCAGTGTACCATTTAGTTTAGACACGTATAGTTTGAGAAAATGATTAGACCTACCTGCATTTTAATTTGATCCATCTATTTGCATATATCCCAAGGAAAGCATAACCCCTGCCTGCTCACAAAAATATACCCTGCTTTTATACCTCATATTTCCCTCCTGCCCTGTCCCTCTGCTTATACCATTTTCCCACTGAATTTCATACACATACACTCACATCAAACATCCCACCCTCACCTGTAGCTCCCAAGATGGCCAACGTCAGGAAGACAGGTAAGATGATTTTGAATATTATTTGGAGTCTTGGCTCACCTGCAGTCCTACTTCTCCTTCTATTTTCCTCAGGCTTGTGGGCAGATTGTAATTTGTATCAGCCATGGAATCAAAACAGAATGACTTTGGTCCCATATGGGCTAGGGCTTTTATACCTAAATGGACTTAGCATTTTTGCAGCAATAATTTGTGAAATGGTACCCCGGAAGAGTTGATTCACCTCCCCTGGGTGAGCTGAGTAGTTTATGTGGCTCCCAGAGAAGAGTTCACATTTCTTGAAATCACCCAGGTCTGCCCAGAAGCTGCATGACTAAACGCAATTTGGATGGGGAAATGCTTTGGCACCCCCGGTTGCACGTGCCCAGCTGCAAGGGCAATTGTTGAGGGTTCCTTTGTCTCCTCTCTTAATGTGAGATGTTGGTTCCTCAGTGGATAGTCACATTAAGAATTATTAAAAATTCATATTTGTGTTTAAAGACTAGATACAATTCAGTGGAGGGTTATAAGTTAACTGTCATTTTGGGGTTAATAAGGATCATACTGGTAAGACTTGAAAATCGACACAGAATTTCTGTGCAAGTGGTGAATAATTGAGATACCCCAGGGCTTTTAACACAACGATTCTAACACAGCAGAGAGAATTTCATCCATTCTCCATCCAAGCCAAGCCTCACATAGGAGCCCACAGTGCATCCACACCTTGCCTTCTGCTTTGCCAACCCTAAGCTTAAGCTCAGGTCTGCTTCATCTGCCGCCAGGTCATTCAGGATTACCTCTCCTGCCAAAACCACCAATGAGGGCAAAGGGCACTTTATTAATCACCCGTGTGGTGTGGGGTGTGTGGCATCCTTATCAAAATGCAATGGGGACTTTGTGACTGTGGCAAACTGGTCCAAAATATAGCCCAGCATTTAACATATAGTATCCACATCACTACAAAGAGCAAAGCAAATGCCAAAAGATCTGGAGTGGTCAGAGTGCCTTAGCTCCGCTCCTTTACCCAGTTCTCATATGACAGTGGTTGCTCACTTTGTTGTCAGCGTGTATTCAGGTCATCCAGAAGGTGCAGGTGAGGTCAGGGCAAGAGCATTATCTGCCCACACCTAGATCCTGGGGGCAGTTCTGTTGGCGACAGTGCTTTACATGCTCTTAGAAAGTGTCCTTGGGTATTATCCAGTTGATTACTCACTTCATCAATGGTTTTTGAGTCCACTTCCATGATCTTATGGAAAATGCAATAACGCTGAAAAGAAACTAACAACAATAACTTATGTATTGAGTGCCTATTATTTACCTTTCTCTCTCACAACATCATGAGATGTAGGTATTCTTCTTCCCTTTCTATGGGTGGAGGAAACTGAGGCACAGAGAGTAACTGAAGATAGCACAGCTAGTTGAGTGTCAGAACCAGAATTATGAGCCTGGCTCCATCTGACTCCAAAGCCTGTTCCCTTTCCATTTCACTGTAATTACTTAAAAGTAGCAGGGTGGATATTGACCACTTAAATCCTATCCTAGGAAACACTTTATAAATCCTTCTAGATTAGTCTACTATAAAATTTGCATATGAACCCAGTCAAGTGAATAAGGGGTGGACCTATGTCCCTCATGTGTGACTGGCCTGGATTTAGCCTGTTTTGGGGGGTACAGCTGAACTGAGATGGGCCTTACAGGCACGAGGTACAAAAGGCAAGCGCAGAAAGTCTAATGTAACCCAAAGAGAGGCCACAATCCATTGCCGAACAGACATGGCTTCCTTGTGTAATTCTAAATGGCACCCACTATGGTTATTATAGTTTTAAAAAATGCAGTAATGATAATGGTTAACATTTTTCCAAAGATCACTTTGTAAGTGAATGAGCTGGGCCAGTGCCTGGTTTTCAGTGAAAGCCAGATTGGAACCACCAGGCAAGTAGCCAGGGTCGGAAAAGAGCCTGGAGGTGGTTTTGGAGAAATGTCTTTCTTGGACATTTGTGAGAAATTTTGAGTGTGTTTTTATTTTCCCTAACCTGATTTACCCTGCCTTTTTCTCTGCTCTTATTCTGACTCCTGCTCTGGTGCTCTCCTTGCCCCCATGATAATCCCCTTTTGCTGTCACACCCACCCCACCTCCAGGACCCAATGCCCCTTGCCCCTACTAAAACTGTCCTGCTTGGCTTCTCTTCCCCTCAGGGTCCAAAGTGTCAGTTAACGAGTGTGTTTATGTGAGAAGTAGTATATGTGCCATTTCTCTGGGGTTCTAGAGAATACCTCCTGTTTTTGTTTCAACTTATTATTGGCTATGGCCGTGGAGAGATATTAGAGGGGAAGACTGGACTTCATCACCCCTCTTTGGAATGGCCTTGTATGGGTACAAAGCTGGCCTTTTGGACCCAAGGCCAAGTGAACAGCTGGCGTGACTAAAGCTGTAAGCTAACAGCTCATGCTGTGAACACACACACTATAGCAAATTAAAAAGATGACTCGTTTTGCATGATCCCCTAAAGTAAACAAGATTTAGTTATTTGTTTGTGTACCTAACTAGCTTTCCTGAATTTGGGTATCTTATCAGTAGCGATTAGGCTAAAAATCCAAAGCCAGGTTAATATCCCTTGTTTTAGAAAGATATATCTTAATACCTAAATATGAAAGTTTGTCCTCATTCTACACATACTGAATTTGTTTCCTACAGATCGTAGTCCTATTTGAAATGTTTTCCTAAGGTTAAAAAAAATCATTAACTTCTGAATTACAAAAATATGCAGTAGTACATTGCTTTAATAGTACTTTAGAGGATTTGAAGTACTAATATTCTTAGTTCCACCCATCTCTTCTGCAGTGGAAAGCATTAACACAAGAGAAGTCAAACAGCCACAATATTCTAACAGTTCACACTGAGGAGTCGTCCTGGACATTTTCCAAAAATAGAGGAAACATTAGGAATTACAGATTAAAAGTAAACTGAATGACCCTTGATTCTTAAAATTGAGCAAGAATTATTTATTTGGATCTCAGGAAAAATTATTTTCAAACCTTAGTTTGAATTCAGTGTCTATGAAATAGAAACTGTTTTGAAAACTATGGCAGAACCAGAGCAAAGGATAATATATGGATGGGGACCAAAATTTAAAGTAAGGGAGGAAAAAAAGACATCTTTATGCTGCTGCGTGCAGTGCAGGCAGTAGATCTGCCCCTAACCAATGCTACCCCACCACCAACGCGCCTAGGCTCAGTCACTCACCACAGGTGAGGTGCCTCCTAATGAAATAAGTACTGATGCTCTCACGTGAATTGAGCAGTGGTAACATTTGTGAATGGATAGCTACCGCCAAATTATCACATCTCTTTTCCACTGATACGGTGTAAGTGGACACTTTTCACTCTCAGCTGTTTTTTTCACTTTAAAGACAAGGTAGCAAATATGGGCTTTTCCAGTGTGCTCAGCTTAATCACAAATATTACCACTGCACATGCAGAATCAAACAAGAACAGCGTAATACACCAAGAGCTTACACAGATCTCTCATATGGAGTATCTCCATGATGAAGAGAACACATTATCCAAATAGGAAGGGTTTTGTGTTTTGTTTTAGTTGAGTCAAATTCCAGTCACTAAAGTGTAGCCACCTTATTGACATGTCAAGTATACCCTACGTGGGATATCAGGACCTACTTCTATGGCTTAGAATCCTCCCCTGTCCAGAAGTGCTGATGGTAGGGACTAATCAGACCATTTTTGTATGTTCTCATCAGACTCTCTGTTTGGCTGGAACTCTGCACTCCTTACTGCTTGCATGTTTACTAATTTATTATTAAAACCCCTGTATTTGCCTTTGTTCTTTCACAACTAACACTGGCCTCTGAATGCATGGGTTTTGTGTGAACTGGTGTGTGACTTAGCAACTAATAATATGTGTCAATTGTGTGTATTTTCAGATCTTAAAAATATAATTGGAATTACTGTACTAAAACCATTTTTTACATTAAGTGGTAAAAATAAGGCAGAATATTAATATGTTGTACACTTAATTCACCATTATGAACTCTTAGAATAATTTTATCCCTCCTCCATTTTAGCTTTTTAGCTATTCTATAGGAAACTTCATTATTGGCTTTCTAGTTAAAAAGTATGATTCTGTGTACTAACGTTTAAACAAACCATCGCAGTTATGAAATTAGAAAGACAAATTCCAGCATTCCAGTGTTGTGAATGAGAGTATCTCCCAGTAGTTAAACCTGTGCAGTAGTGGCCTATGACAGTAGAAATCAGAGTTTGTTCTGAACCCACTTTTCAGATATTTGAAAAAGATATTAGGCAATCACTTAATATTTATTTCATGTGTTCTCAACATCTCAGGACTTTATCTCCTGCCAAGTCTCCTTCTTCATCAACTGGGTCTATTGCCTCCAGCAGAAAATACCCCTACCCAATGCCTCCACTTCCCGACGAGGAGAAGAAAGTGAACCGACAAAGTGCCAGGGTATGTGGAAACTTCCTCCGTACACTAACATCCCTGGTCATTATCGTTGATCTGTGAGTTCATGTTTTAAAAGAGAGAGGCATTTTTCTTTATGTACAAGAAAATGAAAAAATTAAATTTGAAAAATAGAAGATTCTTGGAGCTTTGGGGCTCAGACTTTTATTTGCAGATTAGTTTAATTACTGCATTGATAAATTCTAGAAATATTTGGGATCTATTAATCATTCATTGCTATATATTTATATCTTTTATTATTCATGGTAGCTAACATATTACAACTGGAATAGACAAAACAGAGAATGTATTTTGCTTTATCAGTTTTTTGATATACCTGGAAATGCCAGAGATTAAGTAAACTAGCCTCATTTCCATGCCCAGTTTGCTTACTCAGGCCTTTCACTGGCTAATAACACCCAATAGGATTTTAGAAATAGGAACCTGTAACAGAAAATCAGATCACTGTCTTGGAGATCGGAGTGCAATTTGGATACGAGGAAAGGGGACTTGAAAATCTGTAATATTAAAAGAGTATGGCTAAGGGTATGGTGAAATTTAGCAACTGTCTATATTTTAAAAAGCCAGATTTAAAAACATATATGAGGGGCGGGTCCGTGGCTTAGCGGTTAAGTGCGCGCGCTCCGCTGCTGACGGCCCGGGTTCGGATCCTGGGTGCGCACGGACGCACTGCTTGTCCAGCCATGCTGAGGCTGTGTCCCACATACAGCAACTAGAAGGATGTGCAGCTATGACATACAACTATCTACTGGGGATTTGGGGGAAAAAAATAAATAAAAATTAAAAATAAAAAAATTAAAAATAAAAACATATGAAGTTGATTGTTTTTATAAAAATAGGATTCGCCAGAAGTTTCATTTAAATACTAAGTCCTCTTTTATGTTTTAATCATGATTCTACTCAGTCTCACAACATTCCTGGAACACATCCATCATGTGAAATTGAAGATATAGTCGAGTTCAGAGAGGCAGACCAGTCCTCCGAAGCTTAAGTGAAAGATAGAACTAAAGAATAATTACTTTTATTGATGTCCAGGCTCTGTTGTGGTCAGTTACACTATAATGTTGATCTTCTCAGAAATGATGTTGCAAAAAAATAAAATAAAGCTTTAAAAGCCTGGACACATTTATCTGCTAGTGGGTCCTGGGTTCCGAGGCTTTTTCGTTTGAAAGATATTTCAAAGCCTCTCTGATCTTGAACTTAAATTATGGGGTTCAAAGTAAACACGGCTCATTCAAATTTTAACTCGATCAACTCAGAGTCAGTAAGAAAACACAATTCATTAGAACCTGATTAGATCACTATAATCAGACAGACTTTAAAAACAATCAGTGCTGTTTTGTTAATCATACAAAAAATTACCTTCATGTGTTAATATGGGAAATGGTAAAAGATGGAAAAGAAGAAGATAACTCAGATTCCCAGCACTCAGCTTTATGGCCTTAAAAAAAAAGACTTGTTTATACATCCAGTTGTTCATGATATGCGTATGTGGTAATGAAATCTAAGGCTGATGCCATTCCTCCCCTTCCCAGGGACTTGTCAAAGGATAACACCCCACTTTTGCCCCCCCAGTAAATTGCCTACACTGCTGTTTTCCTCTGTCTAGTTGGGGACAGTCCAGTGTTGTCACTCCAGGGTGCAGGTTATTGGAGATGTTCCCACAAGAGAATCCATGAAAATGACAGCTCCCCAGAAGAAATGGCTGGCCCTTGGTTCCTTCCCTGGGCTGAGTGGGATGACTATGAAGACTGAAGCCTCTGGGACAGTTGTGTGAGAGGTCTGGTTGGTTCTGTCTGCTGTGGAACATCCACATGATTATGTAGCAGCATCCTGCAGAATGGGCAGCCCCTGTCTCTGGGGGCTGTAGAGAATCAAACAAGCAGATCTTTATATCAGTGACCTCTCTTTTACAGCCATCTAGACATGGCCAAGGTCATGCCTATTCCTAAAAGTGATGGCTTGCCAGCTCTTTCCTCCTTTTTCCTCACTGGGATAATGACCTTCAGGTTTTCTGAGTTCATTCCTTTGTTGCTCTCTTCTTTCTGCAAGCTATCACTTATTATTTAATCTTCATAACCAGTTGTGAGGAAACTGGGCTCACTGAAGCTGAGGTCTGAACTCTTTACTGCTCCATACCATCATCTGAGCATCAGTCCAGATCTTCTTTCCCTCAGACACCCTGCAAACCGCCTGTTTAACTGTTCATTTTCACTTGTCTCCACAACAGGTGTCGTCCACACACACAAATCCTCACAGTTGAGAGATTTCGTTTCCAAAGAGTGAGAAGATGGGTGTCTCTTTTAATGAAAAGGACGTATAAAGTAGACCTAAGGTAGATAACACAGGCAGCTTTACCATAATCCTTGTGGAGTAGCCAACAAGGGCATTCAGAACAAGATTTCCATGAAGATTCATGAGGACATATTAGGGAAACCAATATAGAAACATCCACTTAATCACTTAGCTATTTCTCCTCTTTCTTTCCTTGAAACTCATTAGGTATACAATGACATGCCCCAGATTTCCAATAAGAATGGAATTTGGATGGAAATTGGATGCAACCTAAGTCACACTGTCTTAGGATTTCTTTGTTCATATTTATAATAATGATACCCAAATCATATTGCCTGGAAATATTTTATCAGCTTGATCTCTTTTCTATTTTGCTTTTTTTTTTAACTGGCCTTCCTTCTCTGGTGAACTGAATTGCATTCCTATTTGATCGTGCTGAAGTTGTTTTCAGTCCATTAAGGCAATTACTGAACACTGTAGAAATTAGATATGAACAGGGCCAGTGTAAAGAGCTGGTGGCAGAGGCAAGGAGAGAAGAGGTGAGGGAATGCACGTCCTGCCCTGGATGCATCATTCTAGTCTGACATGTCAGCTCCTGAGAGAGGACAATTTTTTAGGAGGTAGTGATGGAATTGGAGAGTGCATAGTCTGGTCATAGGCCTGGGGCAGTGATTTTTAAGTGGGTGGTGGTAGTGTTGGTGGAATCACACTTCCCTAAGACAGTAGTTCTCAGCGTTGGCTGTATGTGGGAATTGTCTTAAGGGCTTTTAAAATATACTGATGCCTGAGGCCCACCCAGAGAAGTTTTGATTTAGTTGGTCTGGTGTGCTGCCTAGGCAGTGGGATTTTTTAAACCTCCCCCGATCACTGAAATATGCAGCTGGGTTGAGAACCTTTGCTCCAGCTGGCTGTTTGAGAATCCTGGGGAAAAGAAGGGTATGTGTCGTTTAAAAAAATAACATTTAAATTATTTTATTTCATTTGAGAAACAATATTTAATTTATTCAAAATTTCGAGTAACATTAAATGAGGATGTGAAGTTTTTTTGTATTAAAAGGTGGCAGTTGTTAAAAAGGTTGAGACACAGGTTTAGAGGAAAGAGAGAGCTAAAAAAAATTAGACTGTTTGTTTTATCCATTTGTTAGGCTTCACAAAAGTGTGCGTCCACAGTCACGTAAGTATGGATGGGATCACCAAATCTTTATCTTCATAGCTCAGAATATATTTGTTTCGTGCTTTCACAGTGTGCAATTTTGCTTTTCTCTGTTGTGCAGCTATGGGAGACATCCATTTAAGATCAACTGTTTACATGTGATACATCGAAACTGTTTACTTCAACTTTTATAGAAACCCAGCCTCACGGAATCACTGCAAATCTATCTGCTCTTCAGACGATATGAAGACCCTCTGAGAAGCCACAGAGGAGAGGAAGCCAAGTCTCACATCTGGATACCATTTACTTTTTGTCATTGGCTTAGGATTTAACTGAACCTTGAAAAGAACTGCTGAAATGTTACATTATAACACGGAACCATAAAGGTACTGGTATGTTAATGGATAATCCACATGACAGATATACGTAGAAATATCACTAAATTAACTCACATGACCCAAATGTAGCAAGTTTCCTAAGGGACAATAGTGGATTCAGAACTTGACATTCTGAAGCACATCCTCATTATAGACAGTAATGCTATGTGCATGATGCTTCTCTTTATTGTTTTCCACATTTAAGGAAACAACATCCCATAATAGAAACTAGCATGCAGGGCTAAGACATATAAGATTTTTCTGCAGGACTTTAAAGCTTTGAGAGGGCAATATCCCATATGCTAACTTGAAACATGTATTTTTATTTTTGTTTTGTTTTTTTACTTTTCATATTTATATCAGCATACAAGGACAACTGTACATATGTAAACATTTTTAGAATTAAAAAAAAGCAGCTGTTACACACAAATGTACTTTGCCAAATGCCTAAGAACAATCAGAGACAATCACATCATCGTCATCCATCAGATGGTCTTTAAAGATTATAAGCAGATGATGCTGTAAATATAGTGGTCAATGCTGTAAATGTGTCTCTCCATAATTGGTATTTGTCCAAAACATGTGCTATCCCTTTAAGCTGTGCACAGTCTGGAGGCAGTTTTACCGAGTAATTAATTGAACAGGAGAACAAAATGCCCAGCAAAACTTCTGGCCTTTACAGCTCGCAGGGGCAGGAGTCCAGTAGTGCAGCTGCTGTCCTGCCTCCAGGCACTCTGCTGCTGACCAGCTGCCCCCTGGGAATCCTCCAGCCTGCCCCTTTTCCTTCTGGGGGCTACAGTGCCTGCCTCAGCAGCTGTTACCTTTCAGTACCACAGCACATCTGCTCGTCCCAGGCCTGTGAGCCCCACAGCAGTGTGTCCTGCTGGCATTAAGCAAGTGCACCAAAGACACATGAGACCACGGGCTGCTGATGCCTTGGTAGCTTTCAACTTGCCAATATGCTAACCCTTTGTGGCCTACCTTTATCTGTGAAATGAATGACTTCTTTTAATAAAAACAACTTTTACATTGTTTATTAAGGATATTTATCATCCGTGGGACGTGAGTCCCAACAGGTCATTCTGCACTGACTTGGAAGCAAGATGATGGAAGGATCTACCAGCTGGGCTGGGAAGCCTCAACAGGCCACAAAGGGTTAAAAGAAACCTAAAGCCACAAGTGTGCTGCAACTGTGAAGTTATTCAAACAGCTGGCAAGGGAAAGAAAGAATCTGACGTTTTGAACTCTATATATTTTTTAATCCATAGTAAAGTGACAAATCCGTGTTAATGCCCCTTCTTTAAAGCCAAAGTTTGATAGCTGTCATAATGAAGCTCTGTCATTCTGAAAGAAAGCTTCCCGAAGGAGGCTACCCTAGTGAGCTCAGAAATTGATGGGATCCATCAAATGCTTTGATGTGAAGAGTGCTTCTGAATTTCCTCATTTTCTTTTTCTTGAGAGGAATGGAATCTGCAGACAAGATTTCAGAAATATCCTCTAAATTTGATCTCTCTCAGTAGTGTCCATGGACAAATCCATTCCACCTCCATGCGTAATCATCTTGGATGGCCCAACCGAAGGGCTGAGGTAGAAGGCAGTGTTTTATACTCTGTGTGTTTACATCTTCTGTGATGGACCTCTCTTCTGAAAGTCTTTGAAAACGTTTGAAAAGCATTTTAATCATCCAAAATGATAAAGTGTAAACAGCATTTTTCATGACAGGAAGGGATGTGATTGTCGATGCTACAGTAACAGTAAAACGATCTCATCAGAGGTTCGGGTGAGTGTTGGGTGATGTTGTCACATAGTTCAAGCCAAGGACAGGAGAGCAGACAGATTTAAAGATGTAGCAAATAAGTGGCTTTTGACCAAGATCACTTTAATGTGCACTGAATGTTTTCTGGTGTTGAGTGTGTAAAATACTATTGTTATAAGGTTTATTTTGACTATAAAAGAGTTTATAGATTTGAATGTAAGGTGCCTCGTGTAAATATGCTTCCTAGTTATGGTTACACAAGCCCTAATTTGAAAGAATCCACAAATGGTTAGCTACATAGTCAATAGATCCCCTCACCCCTCTCTCTTTCCTCGCTTTCTCAATTATTTTTACTTATTTCAAGTAAAAATCATTATTATGTGCCTTTGGGAGGCATGGTTGCTCTGGAGGTATATCATTTATAGTCATCCTCCTTGGTAATGACCTTCATATGGAACTAAATGAAAAGTGTTTTATTTGCAGAGAGAATATGATTTTATAGTACCTTTAATGTTCTATTCTGGGTATCTATTCTATCTAAGAATGTTTAAACATTCTTACACCCATTTGCAAACTTCTTTGACAAGTTTATAATCTCCATGGATAGTTTCAAGAAGTACCTATGTGTACACTCATGGTTAGTGTTCTAGATGTATTAAATCTAAATATTGATGACTTTTCATCCACTGAGGCAGGGAAAATGGACCCATGGCACTAAATACAAGCACAGCATTATTAATTTTTTTTGAATATCTATTTTGTAGAGGAACTTTGAGGCCACATAGCAGTATGTATCATGCAACAAATATCTGTATCCCCCAGTCAACTATAGGACTATTATACTAGGCAGAGGAGAGCAGTTGTTTGGCCTTTATATTCCATTGTATGCCTTTTTCCTCTCTTTCTAAAGTTTTGTGCATAGATAAGACTTCAGATTGACAGCCTGCTGCCTGAGATGTTCCATTTACCCATAGTCGTTACAGTGTAGTAAATTCTGATTTAAAGAAACATTTAAATGTCCCCACTGAGAGCATCAGCAAGGAAGGTGTGGGGTAGCAGGGAGCCCTGCAGGAGCTGACTGGTCAGACTAACTGGTCTGTGTGTCTGGCCATGCTGTCTTTAGACAGGAAGTGGCATCCTCCTCTGGAGACTTCCAGCTAGAAACTGATCCCCAGGTCACATGCAGCCTGTGGAAAGGAATAAACTTCTCAAATGGTGGAGCATAATGAGGGCTTTCAATTTGCTGGAATTGCTGTATTTTTTAAAGAAACTGTATTTTTAAAGTGCTGTTCCTTAAAAAAAATGTTGACTAGTAAAGTAAATGTAGGGTTAAAACGCCAAACATATTTTTCAGTTTGATTTAGGTGCTTTATTACGTGACACTACAGTCTCTTTTTCCCCCTTGCTAATTTAAAAAGGCTTTTAAAATTGTGTTTATACATAAGGTCAGTCCAGCATAGATTTCTGAACATAAGATTGATAGGGTTTCTAAAAGAAGTTGCTGAAAAAATAAAATTAGATACTCTGTACACTTCTAGAGAAGGAAGTCATTTTCCGTCTCTTTTTTTTTTCTGTTGATTCCCTTGCAGATTTGCATAATTTAGTCCTGTCCATTGTCCCAGATCTCTTGTGGCTAGTTCACCTTTTACCTTTTTAGATTTTGTTCTTTACTTGTTATAGTTACCTATGGGCCAGAGGAAACATGGTATTTCTACTCACTTCTTTCAGTATTTCAAAATCAAATTTGGTCATTTATTTCATCCATTCTTTATTTCCTGTTGTCATATGGTTGTTTTAACTTATATATTTAGTGCTTTAAATATTTCCTCGTGTTATTCAACATGATAATAAATCCTTACCTAAAGAGAAGGCTATTTTACTTTATTTTACTTAAAGGAAAGGGAATTTATTGGGAGGATATTGAGTAGCTTGCAGAGTGTATGGGGAGGGGAAAGCAAATTGCGGCCCTGAAGGAAGGAGTGAAGGAGCGACGGGAGGGCAGATGGCTGCTGCCCCGGCCTGGCGAGGACACCACTGCCGCCTACCGCCCTGGACGCCCGGGGGCAGCGTATTTTAAATGCCGTCCTAGGGCCGGCCCCGTGGCTTAGCGGTTAAGTGCGTGCGCTCCGCTGCTGGCGGCCGGGGTTCCGATCCCGGGCACGCACCGACGCACCACTTCTCCGGCCATGCTGAGGCCGCGTCCCACATACAGCAACTAGAAGGATGTGCAGCTATGACATACAACTATCTACTGGGGCTTTGGGGGGAAAAAATAAATAAATAAAATCTTTAAAAAAAAAAAAAAAAAAAAATGCCGTCCTACCAGTGGGCGTGAATTTTGCTTGAAATATTCTAACTCCCATTTGCAGCATAGTGTCTATTTTTTATGCCCCTAGTGATCTTTTTCCTTTCACATCTGTGTTCTTGTCTAAAACTGCCACCCCAATACTGTTTTTTCTTAAATGGAGTCAAGATGAATTTCTCATTCTCATTCTACTAGCTTAAAATATATAAGAAGCAAACATTTCTATGGAATAAGACTAAATTTGGGGCTCAAACTTTTTGTTTTTCTCTCTGAGCTGTTTTCTGAGTGGATAAGATGACTCTGATTTTGGATGAGCAGGGTTCCTCCGGCACGGAAGAGCTAAGGGCTTTCCCAAACAGCTTCCGCTGTTTACTGGGTTGTGAGGTGCGCAGCCTGCTCCTGTGAAAATTGGCTGAGAGGCAACAGCCCATCTGGCTCTGTGTGTGTGTGTGTGTGTGTATGTGCATGTGTGTGAGCAGCCACACCTGCTGGGAACCGTTGGCGCATGCTCACAGCATATGCTCTGTGGGCAGATGCTTTTAATTCCGAGAGGGCTTTTCTACACCTGCAGATGCAGAGCAAACAAAGATGCCGCGGGACCTTAGAAATCAGGGAATATTTCTATTCACATTTTCTTCATTGCTTTGTCAGGGCCCCCAAAATGGAGCATCTTCTGGTTCAGATTATAAGTAGAAAAACAACACAAAAACCCGTCTAGTATTTTTGTCCTTAATACCCAGAGTCTGACGACAGTAAGCGTCTTCCCTGTGGGGTTTGAGAAATGCTTCCAGACCCTTCCTGCTTCCGAAGTCGCTCTCCCTTCAGTAGCTGTCAGCTTTCTCCTGACTAGGAACTGTCACTGTCGTGGAGGTAAGTCCCTTCTTTGCCTAAACTGGCACTTGCGAGAACCAGAGGGGTGCAGAATAGGGGGAGAGGGGCACCTCTAGTTTCCTGCCATCGGCACGTGGGCAGGGATTACGCAACTTTGGAAGTCATTGAGAGATCGGTCCTCAGGGTGTGTTTCAGGATGGAGGGAGATAAGCAGTGAGCTTTGGGAGGTCATGGGGCATTTAGTCCTGGCATAGGAGCAGAATGGAGAGCCATGCAAAGAGCTCAGAAGCCAAGTGTGCACTAGAGCACAGATGGCCACTGGGGGTGCGGTGGAGAGAGAGGTGCTGAGGGCCTACGACAGACCTGTGTGCTCTGCAGTTTTACTGTTAGCTCTATAAATACTTCATGGTCCAGTCCATGAGGGGCCAGTCAGTCACTCCTGCCTGGTGTGTCCGTGGCATTATTCATAGAACCTGTACCGTACCTGGAGGGGCTTCAAGGCTTGCAGGGTTTTGCTTAAGGGCATCATCATTTTATGTCTTTAGGTATCCTTGAAATCAAAACCAGGGAAGGTGGTTTTAGTTTTTATTTGTAAAAAAAGGCATACAATGAGACTAGAAATCTTAAGATAATGTGCTTAAAAAATCATCAGTAAAGTTTTCAAAGAGTTAATGAAGAAAAGTGCATTTTCCTTTCAAGTAAAAAAAATTTATATATACATATAATACTAATCAACATTTACTTTGGGGCTTAGCCT